GTGTGGACTCCACCTCCTTCTCATTGCTAACAGGCGGTAGCTACTCCTGGTTCTTGCCTGGAGCCTCCTGGCCAATTTGGTACAGCTGGGGCTTGCCTCCCTCAATCTCAGCCTGTTGCTCATCTGATGACCCAGCTTGCATTCTCTGAGCCCTGAATCTGACCAATTCTTGGCTCTACGCTTTCCTTTGCAGACTCACCCTCCTCCTCTTAATTGCATCTGGAGAGGGGTCCATCAGGGGGCAGATCCATGACATAAGAAATAAGAGCCTTGGTGGCGCAGCAGACTAAAGTGCTGTTAAATAGCACCAGCTGCCTGCAATTACTGCAAGTTCAAATCTCACCAGGCTCAAGGTTGACTCAGCCTTCCATCCTTTCGAGATAGGTAAAATGAGGACCCGGATTGTGGGGGCAATAAGCTGACTTTGTATAAAAAAGAACACCGCTTGGGGAGGCCGAAAGCTCTACTAAGCAGATATATACAAAAGTATGAAGGCTATTGCTTAACGCATTGTAAGCCACCCTGAGTCTCTGGAGAAGGGTGGCATATAAATCGAACCAATAAATAAACAAACAAACAAACAAACAAACAAATAAATAAATAAACAAACATGCAGTGGTACCTCGATACTCATCCTTAATTGGTTCTGGGAGGTGCAATGAGTACCAAAAACGATGAGTAATGAACAAGTTTTTCCCCAGAAGGAATAATGTAGTGTAATGTAATGTAATGTAGTGAGTCACAAGGCAGCAGATCCTGACAAGTTTTAGCTTGTGCATTGAGTGCCAAAGAAACTACGAGTACCAGGGCAAAATTTTCACGTCAAAATGCGTTGAGTGCCAAATTCAGTGCATTTCAAAGCAGTTGAGTATCCAGTCGAGTACCATTATACTAAAGACCATCAATGTAGGGCAGTCCTGAGTTTTCTTTTCATACATTCCTGTTTTCCCGGGCAACATTCATGTATTACCAAAAGTTGCCATGGACTGACTTTCCCCAAGATCTTCTCTGTACTTCTCTACACCACCAGTGATGGTTAATAGGGCCCAGAATGGTGGACTTCTTCCATTGGAGATTCTAGATTGCAAAAGGAACTCTCCCAAAAATTACATTGAGATCTTCATTGCTTGGGTTTTTTTGCTTCAGTTATCTTGTTTGTTTGTTAAAGGTACTTCAAAGATGCTGGTTTAATTTGACCTTTTTCCAGAGATACGTTTTTCTGTTTTTTTCTTCTACTTTTTAAAACAAGTGTTTATTATATATGCATAATCAATATAAAATATATTATTATATTACATTACATTACATTGCATTATATTTTATTTTATTAATAATCTATATAGGCACTCCTTGTTTAGCAACCACAATTGGGACCAGCAACTCTGTTGTTAAGCAAAATGGTCATTGAGTGAAACTGTGACTGCATTTATGATCTTTCTTCAGCTTTCTTTTGCTTTGCAGATTTGCAAAGTTTATAAATGCAAATATTGGTTTCAAAGTTACTTTTTCATCACCAATCTAACTGAACAGTTAGATTAATAAAATCTACTAATAAAATTAATAAATCCACTACTTTGTTTAAGCCAGTTTTGCCAATCAGTCAGGTTTCAAAACAACTTTGGACATGTGTCCTTCCTGCGAAGAATTCTAACTTTTTCTTTTCTTTTCTCTTTTTTTCAGAAAATGCAGAGCTGGTACAGTGTAAGTAGATGACAATGATGATGTTTTTTGAATCCTGCCTTTTATATATAACTTTTATATATAATTCAAAGCAGTGAATAAACCTAATATTCCTTCCTCTTCAAGAGCCGAGGTGGTGCAGTGGTTAGAGTGCAGTACTGCAGCTACTTCAGCTGACTGCTAGTTCAGCAGATCAGCGGATCAAATCTCACCGGCTCAAGGTTGACTCAGCCTTCCATCCTTCCGAGGTGGGTAAAATGAGGACCCAGATTGTTGGGGGCAATAGGCTATTTAGTATACTGTCTTTGGTGTAAGCCGCCCAGAGTCCTCGGAGAGTGGGCGGCATAGAAATATGACAAATAAATAAATAAATCTTCCTATTTCCCGTACTGAGCTCCCGTTCCTTGTCCCAGCTTCTGCCAACTTAGCAGTTCGAAAGCATGTAAAAAATGCAAGTAGAAAAAATAGGGACCACCTTTGGTGGGAAGGTAACAGCGTTCCGTGCGCCTTTGGCGTTGAGTCATGCCGGCCACATGACCACGGAGACATCTTCGGACAGTGCTGGCTCTTCGGCTTTGAAATGGAGATCAGCACCGCCCCATAGAATCGGGAACGACTAGCACATATGTGCAAGGGGAACCTTTACCTTTACTTTTTAACTTAAAAGATCTTACCAAGGGGGCCCCTATAAATACTGTGATCATATGTCCTTTTTTATAAAAGGCAGTCCTTTATTTCAAGAATCTGACCTTTAGATTTCTTTAATTATTCATTTCCTGGGTTTTGCTCTTGATTTTTTTTGGGATAAAGCAAAATTATGAACCTTTTTAAAAAATCTTTATGAACCTCTTTCACACTCGCCTCACTTTCAGGTCTGACCTTTAATATTTTTCCAAGAAAATATAGTCGCTTCATCTGTAGAGTTCAGTAGAATTCACTTTACTTGAATCACTGGATGGAGTTAATTTCCTTTGCATGTTTACCCAGAAACTGGATTCATTGCTGCTTATCGCAGTTGCCTGAAAGAAATACAACACTGCATTTCAAGGGACATTTTCTTCCCTTTGCAAGATAAGGCAGGGGGAAAAAAAAGAAAGAATTTGTTTCCTTACTAGATTCCCCGCTAAGATTTAGTGGAAATCCTAGGTGAATTGTTTGGCAACACCTCCAATCCCCCAGCTTTTCTTTTAAGTTAACTTCAGTACTTTTTGACATTTGTTGAACCCTGAAGTGCAAAAGGAGGTTTAGAGATTCTTCTTCTGCTTCTGCTGGTGATGACTTTATAAAGTTATCTTTGTGTTCCGTTTGGAACTGAAGCAGACCGTGGTAAATTGCATTTGGGATTGGAAGACTAGCTCTGAAGAACCATTGCTCTGTGCCACTGGAAGGGTGTCCTGCCATTTCTAGCTTGGGTTATGTTTGCGAAGTCAGTACTTAGGTATTTGTTTTGGAAATTCGTCCTGGCGTCTGGTCAGATGATTCCCCCAAGGCAGCTTTCAGATTGTTTATGTTCAATGACGAGAAGGTGTTGCCTGATGGAGTTTTGTTTATTTTAGAAAATGAAACAGTCAAAAAGAATATTTAAATAAACTAATCTGATTGAGCTGAAAGGGGGGAGAAGCACCAAGAGATTGTCTAGCGGCTGTTTGCAGTCACGATGGTGACAAAACAGCATTTTTTTTTTCAAAACAAGTTTTTTTTTAATATACATATCAATGCCTGAATAGTGTGATACCTGGATATCAGTGGTGAAATCCAATTTTTTTTACTGCCGGTTCTGTGTGCGTGGCTTGGTGGGCATGGCAGGGGAAGGATATTGCAAAATCTCCATTCCCACCGCACTCTGGGACCAGCTAAAGGTGGTATTTGCCGGTTCTCCGAACTACTCAAAATTTGCACTACCGGTTCTCCAGAACCTGTCAGAACCTGCTGGTTTATCCATCTGCAAACGGATGCTCTGGGTTCTGTAATGGAGCCTTCCCATTAGGGTCAAAGGTCATGGCAATCCACAAAGCAGATCACCCACATGATCAACCCAATCTTTTGACATTTTTCATGGTGGTCGTGAAGCAAACGCCACGGTCATAAAATGAACCCATTGTTTGCTATAAAGGTATATAAAAATAAATGGCAGGTTTTTGGCAAAAACATCGCAAAACGCAGTTGGGTGACTGCGGAGCTGCAAACCGCCATAAATGTGGGCTAGTTGCCAAGTGTCTGAAAGGCACTCAGGTGATCAGTTGTGTGTGTGTGTGTGTGTGTGTGTGTGTATGAGAGAGAGAGAGAGAGAGAGAGAGAGAGAGAGAGAAAGAGAGAGAGAGGGAGGGAGGGAGGGAGGGAACTGGCTGTTAGAATTTTGGAACCCGATCAAGAGTCACCTTGGTGAGGTCTGTCATAGCTTCAGATGGTAACTAAACATCTGGTCATAATTCAAGGGCCGCCTATACCTACAGAAGTCATGGGTTCTCCATCTCTGGAGGATTTTTGACAGCCACATCTCGGAGGAAGTTGAATTATTTTCCCAGCACATTGCAGATGGTTAGATTGGATAACCCATGTGGTCCCTTCCGACTTCACAATTCTATGATTCTATTCTAATTATTATTATTATTATTTTGCGATCCTGGTTTGGTTCTGCGCCATACTTGGCTTTAGATATCCCAGTAGATGGTTCTTGGAGGTCAGGTGAAAAACAGGCAGAACCATTGCTGGCTGGCCCAGGTTTGATTTGGAGCAGAGGTGAATCCTCACATCTGTCTCTGTGACCGGAGTTATAGGCATCTAAATTCCACACTGGCTGCGTTCACACGGCATGCCAAATTTTAGTAGTTAAGTTTTAGTAGTTTAGTATTTGTGGTCTGCTCTGCCCCCTCAATTTATGGCTCGGTGCATTGAACAGAGACGGGGGTTTCATTCAGGAATCCGGTTAAGTGGGTTGTGTGAATGCAGCCATTGGCATTCCAGGCATGTTCAGGACTCCTTTCTCATACACCCCCACTTAACAGCAGCCTCCCTTCCGATCTCCTGGATTTTTTTTGAAAGACAGGGCTCTCTTCGCCAAGATTACAGATTATGCTTCTGCTGTTTCCTTTGGCAGGGCAAAACTTCCGTCTGCGGGCAGGAAATGGTTAAGTGCAGCCTGACACCCATCTCCCCACCCACCCCCTTTGTTTCCTGTAAGCAACACCCAGGCGCCCTCAGCCAATGGCCGGGTAGCGTAACTGGAGCTCTCCTTGAAGGGTGGGGGGTGTTTCCAGTTGTGCCTTTCAGGGCTCCTGGAAAAAAAAAACTTTCCAGCCCCCCCCCCCTTCTCTTTTTCTGATGATCACCAGTTTCTGCCCAGTTGTCTTTCCCACCCCTCTCTGCCAACAGGATTCCCTGCCTCTGGAAAAAAAAAAACCTTGAATCTTCTACTACCTGCAAAGCAACTTTCTTTTATCTTCAAAGGTCCAAATTTTCCCTCCCGTCTTTTTCTTTTTCCAAACTTTTAAACCCTTCTTTGGATTCTCGTCTTTTGAACTTTGCGCACTCTGGCCTGTCCCCACCTTTGTTTTTTTCTCTCCTACCCTTAAAACCCCTTCCTGGGCTGAGCCTGCAGCCATCCTGTTCTCTTACCTTTCTTGTGCCGCTGGCAGTCAGACTTTTCCCGTAGTTGGTTCGTCCATCCTTCCCTTCCCCTCCCCACCAGCTGCAACAGCTCCCTCCTCTTTGTCCAAAACTATCAGGATGTGGTCTGAAACCCTTTGCCTTCTGGATCATGGCTGGTCTTGCTCGCTATGACAAAACTAGGTTTGACTCGCATGCTGCTGGCAGCTGTTTCATCCAGACAAAGTAAGAGATACAGATCCTTTCCTTCCTTCCTTCCTTCCTTCCTTCCTTCCTTCCTTCCTTCCTTCCTTCCTTCCTTCCTTCCTTCCTTCCTCCCTCCCTCCCTCCCTCCCTCCCTATAATACATGTGGGTATACAACATAATTTTGTATTGTAAATTTTGTATTTATTTATTTATTTTGTCATGTTTATGTAGTGTATATTGGAGGTGGAGACCCTTTGGAGCTTATGCAATGAAATGTCATTTTAATGTATGTCGATTAGCATACATTCAAAGTGACAATAAAGTTATTCTATCTATCTATCTATCTATCTATCTATCTATCTATCTATCTATCTATCTATCTATTTATCTATCTATCGATCGATCTATCTATCTATCTATCTTTCCTCCCTATACTACCTCCCCTTCCTTCCTTCCTTCCTTCCTTCCTTCCTTCCTTCCTTCCTTCCTTCCTAGATGATTCTCTCTCTCTCTCTCTCTCTCTCTCTCTCTCTCCCTCCCTCCCTCCCTCCCTCCACCCCACTCCTTGATAAATGTTCTGGTGTTCCTCCTTTACTTTCCCACCAATTCCACAAATGAGTAATATGTAATTTTCCTCCGCTAGAATGTGTGTGTGTGTGTGTCTGTAGTATGATTACAGGGCTAATAAATGGAGAATGCACTTTTATGCGCTTGGGAAAGAGAGGAAGGGAGGGAGGGAGGAAGGAAGGAAGGAATTTTATTAGGTTACAAATGAAAAAACACACTGTGGAAATGGATGAGAAAATGGTGTGGTGCAGTGGTGAAAGTGTTGAATTAAGACCAGGGAGATCCAGGTCCTAGCCTACCTCTTAGTCCTGGATGACTTTTGGCCAATCCCTCTCTCTCAGGCCAAGAACCAGTGTGGGAGAGTGGTGAGGATGCTGGATGAGGAGTGAGAAGATCCAGGTTCAAATCTAGGTTCTTGAGCCATGGAAGCTCTTTGGGGTGAGTCCCCCTGCCTCGGCCCAAGAGCCACTGTGGAGTAATGGCCACCGTGGAGTAATGGAGAAGGTGCTGGACTAGGAGTGGAGAGAAACACATTCTAGTTCTCAGCCACAGAAGCTTCCTGGATAACTTTGGGCCAGTCTTCCCTTGTCAACCCTATCTTCATTACTGGTTTGTTATGGGAGAAAAATAGGACAATGCTATGTATGCACCTTTATGCTTCTAAACACAAGTCAAGATATATATCTAACAAGTAACAAGGGATTGAGGCACCCAGTTCACAATTCATGCCCTTGATTTTGTTCAGGACCTCTCTTTTTCCCTCCTTGAGATAATCAGCCCCTGTTTCACATAGCAACAGATAATCAATCAGCTGTTGAGTTCACACCACCATATAAACAGACCAACTAAAGATATAACACTAGCGCAGTGTGTTAACTTTTGTTAATAGGTGTTTTATTTTGGTTTTGTGGGTTGGCCTATGTTATGAATTCGACCTGCTTGGCTCCTTTCGGGTCCAGTGTATTGTACAGAATCCAGAAAATGGGTTAGTTTTAGTAATCAGCCTCAGAGTGTTGTGTGAACCTAGCAAAAATAGTATAGTGCAGGAAAGAGCTATTTTCAGATCTTCATTACCAAGCACTGTGGGCAGTCTTTTTTATTATTATACAATTTTTTATTATTTTATAATATAGCATACAAAGAGAATACAAAAGAAAATAGTAGGGAAATTCGGGAAGGGAAAAGGGAAATAGATAGTGGGGGAAAGCAGGGGGGAAAAGGAAAAAAAAGAACCTTGGTAGTACAGTGGTCTAAAGCACCCTGTTATTAAGAACAGCTGCCTGCAATTACTGCAGGTTCGAATCTCGCCAAGGCTCAAGGTTGACTCAGCCTTCCATCCTTTCTAAAGTAGGTAAATTGAGGACCCAGATTGTGGGGGAAATAAGCTGACTTTGTATAAAATATACAAAAGTATGAAGGCTATTGCTTAACGCATTGTAAGCCGCCCTGAGTCTCCGGAGAAGGGCGGCATATAAATCAAATTTTAAAAAAAGGCATTGACTTCCGACTCCTTTGGTGCAGTAGAATAAGGCATTAACATCTAACCTCAACTTTTTTACTTTTACATAATAGTATAAACTAGCCATTTCTATAACAACAAATCTATCTAATCGGTAAAGCCCCAAATCAAAGTTTCAGGAAGGGCAGGATTAACGTCTTTTTAAAAAGTAATAACAGACACAATCTCATTCTTTTGCAACTCTTATCTACTTGGTGAAAACATTACTGTCAGACCCAGCTAGCAAATTTCTTGCCTAGAACCTACTGTGTTTCTCTGAAAATAAAACCTATCCTGAAAATAAGCCCTACCATGTTTTTTGCCCGTGCGCCTAATATAAACCTTATCCCCCAAATAAGCTCTACTTAAGTGCCTGTGCAGCTGGACAGCCACTCATTCCTTCTGGTTGCTTGTGGTGCCCTGGCCCTGAGGTGAGGCGGGGTGGAGCTGTCCCCCCCCCCCATACTGACTTATCTCAGGGAAGTGAGGCGAGACAGGTATTGGAGCGTGGGTGGCCTGGTTGAGGGGACCTTGAGGTAAGCTGGTGTGGGGCACATGCTGAAGTGGGTGGGCCTCCCATGTCCTCTTAAACTACATGGGGAAAAAAACACCCCCCCCAAAATAAGCCCTAGTGCTTATTTTGGAGCCCAAAAGAAAATAAGACCAGGTCTTATTTTTGGGGAAACATGGTACTTCCCTATAAAGTGGTAGAAGTGGCTATATACTGTAGATCTTCTTCTCTGAATTGGGCATTTTGTCCAGAAAGGACCTAGTCCAGCAGATGTGACTGTGTTGTTGATTGTCTAAATCATCTGGAGTGTGTGCCAGGCTGGAAAGGCTGGTTGAGCTTGACGGTAAGAAGGTCAAATCATCCTAAGGCCTCTGTTTATATGTATTGGCAGATGCTGAGTCCCACCTACAAGCAACGCAACGAAGACTTTCGCAGGATCTTCAAAGGGCTGCCTGAAGCTGAGCGTCTTCTTGTAGGTGAGGCCATGAGAGGAGATAAGGGTTGGGAATGGCTTGTGCTTGGATCTAAATAACAGGGTGGGTGAACTGAGCAAATAGAATCACTTACCGGAGCTTGTTGTTATTAGTTGCGAAGTTGTGTCTGACCCATCACGACCCCATGGACAACATTCCTCCAGGCCTTTCTGTCCTCTACCATCCCCCGGAGTCCATTTAAGCTCACGCCAACTGCTTTAGTGACTCCATCCAGCCACCTCCTTCTCTGCCATCCCTTTCTTCTTTTGCCCTCCATCTTTCCCAGCATTAGGCTCTTCTCCAGTGAGTCCTTCCTTCTCATTATGCGGCCAAAGTATTTGAGTTTCATCTTCAGGATCTGGTCATCTAAAGAGCAGTCAGGGTTGATCTCCTCTAGGACTGACCGGTTTGATCGCCTTGCAGTCCAAGGGACTCGCAGGAGTCTTCTCCAGCACCATAGTTCAAAGGCCTCAATTCTTTGACGCTCAGCCTTCCTTATGGTCCAACTTTCACAGCCATACATTGCAACTGGGAAAACCATAGCCTTGACTATACGCACTTTTGTTGGCAGGGTGATGTCTCTGCTTTCTAGTATGCTGTCTAGATTTGCCATAGCTTTCCCCCCCAGGAGCAAGCGTCTTTTAATTTTAATCGGCAGTGATTTTGGAGCCCAGGAAAATAAAATCTGACTTTATATAGGTCAGAATAGGCAAGGGTATTCTGTATGACCTCAATGGAAGGCTAAGTTGGACTTTGAAGAAGCAGGAGAAAAAGGGTATTGACACTTTGGAGTTGGCGAAAGCTCCTGAGAATACTACGGATAGCCAAGAACACAAATGGACTTTCAAACAAAGCAAATCCAGTGCTGTCACTTGAAGCACAAATGATCAGGCTTAAATTATTCTACTTTGGACACATAGTGTGAAGACCCAGATCTCTGGAGAAGACTCTAACACTTGGAAAGAGGACAACCATCAGCAAAGGTGTAAGGACTCAGTTCGAGTGGCGATGGCTCCATCCTTGGAAGACCTGAAAGACCTAGTTAGGGTCAGATCATCTAAGAGAAAAATCTACCTATGCGGTTGCTAAGAGTTAACACCGACTTGATGACACAATTGGTTATCACTCATTGATGACTGCGTAAAGATGGTGGAATAAATCATTGGGGAACGATTGGGAACAACTTTGGAAAGTGTGGGAAATAATGAAACGGCAAGGGGGGAAAAATTCAGTGTTTCTCCTCATCTTTCTTTCAGTTTCGGGCAGTGGTGAAATTCAAATTTTTTTACTACCGGTTCTGTGGGCGTGGCAGGGGAAGGATACTGCAAAATCTTCATTCCCACCCCACTCTGGAGCCAGCCAGAGGTGGCACTTGACGGTTCTCCAAACTACTCAAAATTTCCGCTACCAGTTCTCCAGAACCTGTCAGAACCTGCTGAATAGCACCCCTGGGTTGGGAGCTGGAAGTCCTGTGGGTAATTTCCAACCCTGGAATGCTTGCCACTTCAGAGGTTTATGATAGTCTTCAAATAACTCGACATTCCAGAGGGTTGCAAAGGATGGAATTATAAGGGGAAAGAACTGGAGTTATCATGTTTAGGCATGTTTGCATGCCTCAGGTTTTTCAAAAGCACTGGTGGTTCGTAATTGTTATTGTCACAGCCATGTTCAGCCTTCCTTTTTTTTTCTTCTTCTTTTTTGATTGCTGGCTATCTCTGGCTATCAGTTACAAAGTCCACTGCTGCAGTTGTGTGACGTGCAAAAAACACAGCTGATTTTAGCTTTGCCTAGGATCAGGGGTGAAATGCTCCCGGTTCGGACCGGATCTCCCGATCCGGTAGCGATGGCAGCGGGTGGTTCAGAGAACCAGTAGCAAAAATCCCTTCCCCCCCCCATGCCCAGCTGAGCCGCGCGATCATCAGAGGCTGTTTTTTTAACTTTTAAAAGCATTTTTTCCTGCAACCTCTTCGGCTGAAAAAATGCTTTTAAAAGTAAAAAAAAAAGCCTCTGACGATCCCAGCTGAGTTGCCTGATCGTCAGAGGCTTCTAAAAGCATTTTTTTCTGCAACCTCTTAAGGTTGTAGAAAAAATGCTTTTAAAAGTAAAAAAACAAAACAAAAAACTTGGCCACGCCCACCCAGTCACATTATCCCCACCGCCAAGCCACGCCCACAGAACTGGTAGTAACAAATTTTACATTTCACCACTGCCTAGGATAGTGTTTTGGTGGCATAGTTAGTGTTGTGTGTCGGTCAGGGGTGAAATTTACTTACTTTCGCTACCGGTTACAAATGTGAGCGCTCGCGTGCACCTCCTCCACACATGTGTAGAGCCTTCTGCGCATGTGCAGAGGGTCAAAAATGGGACATGATGACATCTGGGCGGGTGGGCAGAGCCTCCCGGCGCTACCGGTTCACCCAAGCCGGATTGAACCGGCTGAATTTCACCACTGGTGTCGGTTTAGTTTGTAGTTCAGAGGGTGGGACATAAAACTGGGTTCCCAACTAAGTTGCTCAGTGTGTGAGCATAGCCAATGTACAGGTAGGCCTGAACGTGCAAGCAGTTGCTTAGCAACGATTCAAAGTTATGATGGAAAAATACTCCAGATCTGAAGTTCCAATGGCTATTGCTGTGTCCACCCCCACCACCCCATGTTACAAAATTGCATTTTGGGCAAAACCAATTTCCATTTGCGGCCATTTGCATGTGACCACAATCGACAACATTTTTTTTTCCACCCAGGAAATTGATGTTTACTTCTCATTTCTGTCAAATTGGAAATTGGTGTTTTACTTCTCGTTTCTGCCCATGGTGGACAATTGGTTCACTTTAAAAATTGCACCATTTGCATAGCAACCACCGTGTCTGCTATATGACCGTGCAAAAAAGTCAAATAGTCATGTGATGATCCTCTTAATGACTGGGCAGGATTTACAACCCTAATTTTGGGCTGAGTTGCAGTCATAAATTGAGGATTACCCTGTATCTGAAATAAGTGTCAGAACTTGGATGAGTATCTCTGCACCTGCAGCCCCCTTAGTACCAGGCTGCAAGGATAATCTCCTAATTTTAATTTGTAGTTTCTGTGTCTTCCTTTCCATGCCACCCACCCACCCCCAACATCTCCTGACTCCTTAGATTACTCCTGTGCGTTGCAGCGTGACATCCTCCTTCAAGGACGGCTTTATCTATCGGAGAATTGGATATGCTTCTACAGCAATATCTTTCGATGGGAGACCACGGTAAATGCTCCATCCAGGACTCTTCTGATTGCTTTTAGCTCTTCCTCTCCTGGCCACTGACCTCTGTGTCACCTTCCATGATAGATCTCCATCCAGCTCAAGGAGGTGATATGCATTAAGAAGGAGAAAACCGCCAAGCTGATCCCCAACGCGATTCAGATTTGCACAGAGACCGAGAAGGTGAGACCGTTGCATATCCCCTAAGAATCCAAGCCTGGGGATAGATAATTATCATTTCCAAGATGCTGCATTTTATAATCTGCCAGCAAAGGGGCCCCAGTCTCTGATTTTCTTCATGTGTTGTAAAACTGGGCTTTATTTGTAATCTGTTCTTACTGATTACCATGAACGGTTACAGGAATTGGGCATGGCTAGTCTAGTGCTCGGATTGATGCAGCAGGCAATGGGATACATCAGTCCGAGCACGACGCAGCAGGCAATGGGAGCGATGACAGCGGCTTTTTCGGCGACCTCTGACCTCTGTGTGGGTGGGCAGGGAAAGCGAGCAGTGACCGGGCTACTGGTTCGGGGGCGTAGCCAGCCAGTGGTCGCTACCAGTTTGGCGACCCAGGCCAAATTACCGCTACCGGTTCACCTGAACCGGTGCGAACTGGTAGAAACCCACCCCTGGAGACTTCCCATCCTTGTTCTAGACCAGTGTTTCTCAACAGTAGCAATATGAAGATGTGTGGACTTCATCTCCCAAAATTCCCCAGAATAGCCATTCTGAAGCTACACACGAATGCTCAGTACCACTGGGAAAAAAAACAGGGTGTCTGGAGCCCAACCAAAGAATTTTCAGCCTTTCTCTGTCCCAGCTTCCTGTTCTCTTTTCCTGACTTTTCAAAGCTTTGGGGGCACATGATGGACCTTTTGCATGGTGTAAATATTTGAATAGATTTTACCCGTGAATCTGGGTTATCTTTCTTCCTAGGAAATGAGGCAATTTTGTGCAAGAAGAGAGCCTAACTGACTGATAACTCACTGTTATTGACTTGTTCCTCTTCTTTCTCTCCCATCTCACTGTCTATAGATATTCTCAGTCATCCTAGGTCAGTGATGGCTAACCTTTTTGCCATCGCGTGCCAAAAGCGTGGGGAGCGCGGGGGAGTTGTGCGTGTGGGTGTCCACACCCATAATGCAATGCACCCCACCCCCTAGAAAGCCTCGAGCCTGGGGAGAGTGAAAAACGGGCCTTCCCCACCCCCGGAGGCTCTCTAGAGGCCAGAAATAGCCTGTTTCCCGACTTCCAGTGGACCCGGAAGGCCCGAAAATCAGCTTGCCGGTGCACACATGCGCACTGTAGCTGAACTAGGGCAATGCTTGCGTGCCCACCGATATGGCTCAGCGTGCCACCTGTGGCACCCATGCCATAGGTTTACCATCACGGTCCTCGGTCATGGTCCATATCCCGAAGATGCTTTTTCAAAAGGCAACCCGACTTTTCTTCGCTTTTTTCCTTGAAGAAGATGTTTCACTTCTCATTGAAGAAGCTTCTTTATTTTTTTTTAAATCACGTTTTATTGATTTTTTCTCTCTCTCCCCCTCCCCCCCATTCACCCGCATATTTTATGAACAAAGTATTGGCCATATCATATCTTATACAACTGATCGTATCCAAATATAATTTACATAGTTACAATTTCTGCCAAAATCATCTTTTCCCATATTTTTAAATCATACCTTAATATTTCTGTGTTTATTTATATAAACAACATCTTCATTCGCCCTCAAATTCTAATTTCTCTATTTTTACTCCTATTTATTCTTTTTTACTTTTTAATAATTCATTCTTTATCCTAATACATTTACACACGTTCGGGGTTGCCTTTCTTCCATTTCATCTTTTTTATTGTACAGCAATCTTTCTTCTCATTCTCTTCCGTCGCCCTCCCTTCTTTTATTCTTCCTACTTTCTTCTTTCCCTCTCTCCCACTCTTTCCCTACTTCCCCTTCCTTTCTCCCCCTCCTCCTCTCTTTCTCCCTATCTAACCTTTTCTCCTACTCATATTTCCCCTCCCTCCCTTCCTCCCCTCTTCCCTTTCTTCCATTCCTCTCTCTCTTTGTCCCTTCCTTCCATCCCTCTATTCCTTCTTTCGTCTCTTTCTATTGCTGTATTCATTTTTAATTTACTATTTTCCACTATGGTGTCCAGGCAACCCCGACTTTTCCTCCATTTATTAAATATATTTCTCAGAATTCTCCTCCTCTTTTTAATTATTAACAATATATTTCATCTTATTCCATTTTTACCTTAAAGCCTTTGCTGAGTTGGCCTTCCAATCCTTAATCTATTTTACCTTTAACAACATCTTTCTTCTCTTTTATTTCTTACTTATATTTCATTTCATTCTTACTTACATCGTTTACTAACATTTCAATTTTGTTCAGTTTTACATTTCAGTTTTTCATCTTAATTTCAATTAATTCCTTTGAAGCTTCTTTAGAACGGAAGAAACGAAGTGCCTTCTTCAAGGAAAAAAACAAAATCCAGCTGTCTTTTGAAGAAGTACTTTTGGTTTCTCCCTGCCTCATTCCCGTTCCTAGATTTCCTAAGTTCTTTTGGCATCTTTGCTGAGCCAGGGTGAGGCCTTTATCTCAAAGGTATCTCTTCCTGACTTATGGCCCTAACCAGCAGGGCAATGTCCTAGAAAAGAGAAAGCACATCGGGTACAAAGAATTCCAAAGGAAAATGGGTGTGTCCCTACCGCTAGAAAATCATTTTTACCTAGAACCATCCTTCCTTTGCGGAGTTTAATGACCTGTGACTGCATACTTTAGCAAAAACAATGCACAGTCTTTGCAAGTGGCCTGAAAGATATGCACATCCAGGAAGCCTTGAGATTACAATCTTCCAACAACAATTGTGGTTTAGACAGCCAGGGAGGACTTGTAATCTTTAAGACTGCTCAGATGCCTCTGATGTTTTCTTCTGGTGTTGAGGTTTGCCGTGTGAAACAGCGGAGCCCATTTCAAAGAAAACCTATTGTTGTTTCTTGCCTGAGATCACTGTACTCTTTCGGTGTGTTACTCATGCAAGAATGCATTGCACACTCTTGAGGCAGGAAGCAAATTTCCGTGAATCGAAAATATGCTGATCTGCTAGAACAGTATTTCTCAACCTTGGCATCTTCTAAAACACGTGGATCTCAAATGCCAGCATTCCCCATTTCATAAAGTTGGCAAGGTTGAGAAACACGGCTGAGCTATTATCTCCCAGGAACCATGTGGCGATAATATGACTTCTACTGGGGGATGCTGGGAGTTGTAGTTCAGTCATGTCTGGAAGAGCAACACTGGTCTACATAGTTAAAGGGTTATCTTCCAGGGGTGAAATGTTACCGGTTCGGACTGGTCCACCCGAACCGGTAGTAATAAAAGCTACCGTTTCGCCCGAACTGGTAGTAATAAAAGCTACCATTTCGCCTGAACTGGTAGTAAAAAAATGCTACTGGTTTGGGATGAACCGGTATTTCTTACAATCAGCTGTGCCGCGCGATTTAGATTAGCTAAATCCTGCTTTCTAGCGAATCTAAATTGCGCGGCACAGCTGTTTCCCTCCCCCTCGCTATTCTACTTACCTTCTTAAGTCTCCTTTTTCAGCGCTGCACCGTAGCGCCTGTGGTGCGCATGTGCGCAAAGCATGCATTTGGTGCACACCATGCATGCGCACACAGCAAACCGGTAGCACACACCGGAGGATTTCACCACTGTTATCTTCCCACTGTTGAAATTCACCCATCTGTGTGAACAGAAGGAGCAAGAACATAGATTGTCTCCTGGAGATCATCTGTGATAAGGAAATGTCCTTGCAGCTCCGTGATCAAATGTGCATGTCCACGTGGATAAATTCCATTCCTTTGTCTTTCTGTCTACCTACCTACCTATCTCTCCCCTTTTTGGAAGAGCTTTATAGCTCCCGCTGCCTTAAGAAAGTTGAAGACATTCTTAAGGATCCATCACATCCTGGGCACTCTTTTTTTGAACTGTTACCATCTGGCAGACGGTACAGGATAATAAAAACAAGGACAAGGCTGAAAAACAGCTTCTATCTCAGGGCAGTAACTATATTGAATTCTACTGTATAGTGCAATATTAATGCAGTATCAGGGGTTTTCAATTCAAATATGAAGGATGTGTGTTTGTATTTTTTTTAAAAAAAATGATTTATATGCCGCCCTTCTCCGGAGACTCAGGGCGGCTTACAATGCGTTAAGCAATAGCCTTCATACTTTTGTATATTTATACAAAGTCAGCTTATTGCCCCCACAATCTGGGTCCTCATTTTACCTACCTTAGAAAGGATAGAACGCTGAGTCAACCTTGAGCCTGGTGAGATTTGAACTTACAGTAATTGCAGACAGCTTGATGTTAATAACAGTTAATAACAGTGCTTTAGTCTTCTGCTGTTATAATGTACACTGAAGATGGCATTTATTTTCGTTGTATGAGGTGCAATGACAATAAAGTAAACTTAACTTAACTTACGATAACTTAACCTATCGACCTATTATCGGTAATTAAATCAATCAGATTCTCCGCAGTAAATAAGACCATAAAAGAAAGGCCATTCCATTGAAAGATCAATGGTAAAATATTAAAGCACATCAATAGAACTTAGTAGATTGATATCAATCAAGTATGGGTGTCCCATTGCTCATCCTAAACCCTCCAAAATAGTTATGTTTTCAGTAATTTTCAGAAAGCAAAAGTTCCTGAGGAAATCCATAGCTTAAATGCAACACAGAAGCTATGAAAGTTCCGCACAGTCAAACTTATTTTGGGGGGACCAGTCTTAACCTTGTTCTTTGTGGTTCCCAGCATTTCTTCACATCCTTTGGTGCCCGTGACCGATGCTTCATGCTCATCTTTCGCCTTTGGCAGAACGCACTTCTGGATAAGGTACGGACAGACAAGGGGAGAAGCCACCTATGATTTTTTTGGAGAGTGGTAGATCAGATTTGACCTATGGAGATTCTCAGTCATCCAGATCATGGTTGTCCCAGATGAAACCGGAATTTTTTCTATTTGGAATGACTACACCACAATATACTAAGGAGATAAAATACCTTATTATTCACATTTTGACAGCAGCACCCATACTGTACGCCCAAAATTGGAAATCCGAATTACTACCAACAGAAGCAAAAATAATTGCAAAAATAACCGAATGTGCAGAAGTGGATAAACTCACTAAAGAGCTTCAAGAGAAGGAAGATACCGATTATTATACAGTTTGGCAAAGATGGTACTCATGGCTGGAGGGAAAGATAGGGCCAGTAAAATAAAATGTTAGGAAAACTTGAATAGGAGTACAGAAAGTGGCACATGAGGAAAACAGTAGGATGATAGTTATGAATAGTTAGTACGAATTGCAGAAAACTATGCTTAGGAATGCACAATTATGTTAAGGTACAAACAAGCAGAAATGCAAACTTTTAAATAAAGAAACAACAGGTAAATTAGAAAACAACGACTGATATGATAGCTTCTTAGGATAGTTTTTTCTTTTTTCTTTGTGTATGTATTATATTGATGTATATGTACGTGTTTTTACATGTATTTACATTGTACATTTGTTTGTGTTCAAAAAAAAATTTTTTTTAAAAAAAAGAAAGGTTGTAAAATGGGGCAAAATTCACTTAACAAGTGTTTGACTTAGCAACAGTTGGGCTCAATTGCGGTCGTAAGTGGAGGACTCCCTGTACTTTCCCATCTTCCTGGATTTAATGCATGCTTCTTTTCTGTACTTTCTGTTGCCTTAATAGCTTCTAGGTCCCTCCTCCAAATTCATCTCCGTGACTCCCTATACTTAAATACGTTGCACAAATGCAGCCGTTACAGTCTGAAAACCATATTTTGTGCTATTGTGCAATATATGAACCCAGTCAATTGCACCTTGCTCAGCAACCCACGATGGAAACAAATGTTGACTTACTGTGATAAGCTCCTCAGTAGCTGTGCTATCTATCCGCTTCTTAGTTTCCTCTCTTAATGCCGTGTTCTTCTATTGCCATTAGACATTGCCCCCGCGAGAACTTTGGCACATTGTCCATCAATGCTACGGTTCTGAACTTGGCTTGACCAGTGAAGATGATGATTACGTTTCTCCCATTGATGACCTTAATGGCTTGGGGTGAGTATCTATCTGTCCTGTGGATAAGACAGTTTTCACCCGGGTCAGGGAATGGAACCTGTACAGTAGTGGCCAAAATTGTGGAAACCTTTTGAGGAAAGTGTATTTTCTAAAACGAGCTAATGACACCACTTTTTTTTAAATAGTACCATAAAATGATATATCAATGGAAAGATAATTTAATCAAGAATGTAATGCAATAACTTTTATGAAGAATTTGCTGTTAGAATAGCAGTGACAGTATAAAGGAAGGAAAGGGAAACACGTAGAAAAAAACGAGATATGCAAAAATTATCACCATAGAAAAAAATGAGATATACAAAAATGATCACCATGTCAGTTAATACTTAGTTGGGTAACCTTTAGCATGAATTACAGCCTTACAACGTCTTCCCATGGAGTGAACCAAATCTTTGAGTTCTGCAGCTGTTATAATGTGAAACCAATATTGAATGATTGCTTCTATTAACTGGGTTTTATTGCTGGGTCACTTCTGTTAGTCACTTCTGACTAACAAGTTTCTTTAGTCGGCTCCATAGATTTTCAATTGGGTGAAGGTCTGGGCTATTCCCAGGGCATTCTAGCAGTGGAATATGATTATCTTGAAACTCTAAAAAAAAAAAAAAAAGTGATGTTATTAGCCATCCAACCTCAAAAATACACTTTTTCCAAAAGGTTTTCCACAATTTTGGCCACTACTGTAGCCATACCTCTTCTCTACCTCTTCGCCATTTGCAGGAGATGGCGTGCAGCCTTTCTCAAGGTTGATCCTTCCATAAATGAGCCTTGCTGGTCCAAAAGATTCCTTTTAAATCTCCCTGTCTTTTATCTCTCTCACAACAGAAGCCAGAAAGAAATTGGAGATGATATTGACCTGACAGAGCTGACATCCCGCTGCAACACTGAGCTCAAGCTGGACACCAGTCCCTTGCTGGACAAAAGGGACACCAGTCATAGCATCAACTCACTGGCCAGTAGCAGTGATGGGACCACATCGGTGAGGACAGGGGATTCAGAAGACAGCTGGAATGTTATGAAGGTCCATTCCTAGATTTTGCCTCCCATAAGAACTATTTGCCCTAAGATGATTGCAAACCTTTCCGTTCTCCTCTTGAATATTACCTGCTCTGCATAATTTCCTCTCCCCTCCCCAGAAATCTCGTTTGTTTTGCATATTTTAATGCACTTATTTTACCACCTATTTGTAGGTGGAAGGTGAGAGAGAGAGAGAGAAAAATCACCCCACCAAATTTCAACAGTGTAATCTTGGAGATTCTTCAGAAGGTTGCATGATGTTTATGGGTTACCTATCTCCAAAACCTTATCCTCTTGAGGTTAAATGAAAGGATCTAAAAGACAATATTCATGGGAAAGCTTTATGGAGCAGAACTGGATCACTGAAGAAAGAATCAAATAAACTGAAATAAGTTCAGAGATGAGGAGTGAGGAAATCCAAAACGTAGAAACAAAGTCGTTTTGAGGAAGAAGAAACTGTTTAAGGTTGTTTATTTGAGGGATTGTTGGTGCTCTCTGAGCTTGGTTGTTTTCTTGCAGATCTTTCATTACCCAAAGTATTATGTCAGTGTGTAACATCATCAGTGCTAGGTTGTTCGGTTGTTTGGGAATGTTTAAGCTTGAGAAAGGAAGACTGAGAATAGGACAGCACTCTGTCAGAGTTAGTTGCAGCACACACAATCAGACTATTAAGCAGGATTCAAAATGTCTTTATATACATAACAACGCATAAGGCATACAATACCCTTGTAGGTTTTTCCACGTTGTAGGGAAGAGAAATAGCAAGTACAAACACAGCACAAAATGGAGACGACAAAATGGAGGAGTCAAAATGGAGGAGACAAAATGGAGGTGGGAGAAGCTAGTGTCCTCAAACTTATATACAGAACAGTTAAGCCACACCCAGGCTCCAAACTCTCTCTTACGTTCCCATACAATAAATACTACCACGTTTCCCTGAAAATAAGACCCTCTCTTATATTTTTTTGAACCCTGAAATAAATAGAAATAGAATAACAAGAGTTGGAAGGGACCTTGGAGGTCTTCTAGTCCAACCCCCTGCCCAGGCAGGAAACCCTACACCACTTCAGACAAATGGTTATCCAACATCTTCTTAAAAATTTCCAGTGTTGGAGCATTCACAACTTCTGGAGGCGAGTCGTTCCACTGATTAATTGTTCTCACTGTCAGGAAATTTCTCCTTAGTTCTAAGTTGCTTCTCTCCTTGATTAGTTTCCACCTGTTGCTTCTTGTTCTACCTTCAGGTGCTTTGGAGAATAGCTTGACTCCCTCTTCTTTGTGGCAACCCCTGAGATATTGGAAGACTGCTATCATGTCTCCCCTAGTCTTTCTTCTCATTAAACTAGACATAAGCACTTGGCCTTATTGCCATGCGCTCAAAAGCCTGATTGGGTTTATTATCCGGGGATGTCTTATTTTGGGGGAAAGAGGGTATGTTTCAGTTACCAAATAGCTCTTGTTGGCTGACCTGTTGCTATGCCCTATTCCAGTTGATGAATATACTCTGACACACTCTTTAAATATCTGAAAGTCTGCCACACAGATGATGGAGACTTACTCTACCATAGTTCCCAAGGACAGGACATGAAATATTAAGGTTCTGAGTTATAGCAAGCCAGATTCCAACTGAACGTTAAAAAAAATATAGAACCAGTTAAACTGGAAATAGGCTTCCTTATGTTGGATGTAATTCAAAAGACAGCTAGATTTATCAGAGATGCTGTAACATGGATTCCTGCTGTGGTGCCAATGTCCAACAGCCACTTGCAACTAGAAGAACCAATGGAACTTCTTAAACAGAGCCCAAATTAACCTTCACCTAGCTTGTGAAGGGTTTTAACTGAATCTTTGAAATACAGGAAGGTAGTGTAGATTCTAACTATTGGTCAATATTCCCCAGAGATATGATGTAACTGTTCTGACCTAAGCTTCCCCAGCAGCACGAAGCCGAGTCCTCGTCCCGATAAACCCCTTTTATTTAATTTACAGTGAATTCCTCTCCAGCAAAGTCTTTCCTCTCCCCTAGTCTTTTAAGATAGTTCACAATTACCGACCTTTATCAGGCTTGGAGAGTGGCCAGGCCAATGTCTTTTCAGACGCCACACTGTAACCGACAATACTTGGCAAGAATGCAGGAACAGATCTTTACCCAAATGAACTATTTATCTCCTGCAAACTCTCCTCCCCTTTGCTCCTCTTTATTCCCTATGGGAGGGGCCATTCACCGTCCATCTGTGGCTTTACTCCTGAGTCGACCCTTGTTCCTTAGCTGTTCCCTTCTCCTGGCAGCTCTGAGCATGCACCAACTGGGAACAGGATCCAACTGTTCTTCTGCCTCACGGATGTCTGACTCCAAAGGCAGCTGACAACTGTCAGACGGCCCTGGCCCCATCTCTGCCTCCAACACAGAACCCACATCAGAGCCTTCCCTAGAATCCAGGACTGGCCCATGTTCGTCCCCAACCTCCTCACTGTCTGAATCTGCTGCCAGATCTGCTGGCGGGCCACAACAGTATCTCTAAAGAAAAGTCTTTTCTAGTTCCACTTAGAAATGCTAGGAATTAATTCTGGAACATTTAGTGTGCAAAGCACATGCAGTAACAGTCTAGCTAAGAGTCTCTATTCTTGGGTGCAGTGAAATGAATCCCTTTGAACTATTAAAAGACCCAGGTGAAAATACTACAATTGTTCCTATGCGCCATACTATTTTTTATACCTCTGCTTTATAAGTTTATATGCTTCACACACCCATCAATAACTTGAATGTTGCAAAGAACAGCATAAAACTATTTTAAAATAAAAGTTTTAGCTTGTCCATGTTATACAGACATCAAACTCTCAACTTTAAGTAAAGACAACACAAAGCCCATGAAGGAAAATGGGAAGCTCTCCCATTAATTAAAATAATTTTTGAGTGGAAATTAATTATGTTTGATTTCATGCCTCCGAATAAAAGCCTTTTTCTCCGGCTGCCCAAACAGGTGAAAATTTTCAGTTTAGTTTTGACTATCAAGAGTATTTTTAGATACCTGGTCTAATAATACCCCTTTTTTAAGCAGCTAAAGAAAAGAATACAAAAACCCAACACACTCTGTGATTGTTTTTCACAGTTTTGGGAAATGTCCAAGGATATTTCAGAATCCTTAAAAATGAAGCCGATCTATTGAAACACATCTAGCTAAAATGGTTTTGTGATTCTAACTTTATTGCAACTTACAAAGGAGAGAGATTTTAGCTCTGAAAATTATTTATAGCCCAATACATGTTTATGTAGAAATGAGTCCCATTGAATATTGTAAAAGGACTTTTTCGGTGTCACTGTCACTTCAAACAGTCACTAAACAAAAATGTTGTAAGTCAAGGACTACCTGTTTTACCTTCTGCTGCATGCTTGGTGACAAGAACATATCAAATAGCAATAGCACTTAGACTTACATACTGCTTCACAGGGCTTTAGAGCCCTCTCTAAGCAGTTTACAGAGACAGCATCTTGCCCCCAACAATCTGGGTCCTCATTTTTACCTTCCGACCTTGGAAGGATAGAAAGCTGAGTCAACCTTGAGCCAGTCAGGATTGAACTGCTGGCAGTGGGCAGAACTAGCCTGCAATGCTGTGTTCTAACCACTGCGCCACCATGGCTTAAAATAGCAAATATTTTGGCTGATATCTCATTCGCTGTCCAGATGCTGAACGTCAAATCGTGACCAAATGTGCAATTTCAAATGGAGCCGACCTCCAAAGCTTACCTGGGTTGAATCTAATGCCGACTTGTTTCCCTTGTAGCTGGCAGAAGATCCGGAGGACAACACTGACAGCCAAATGGATGCTTCATCCAGCCACACAGTGACCTCAGCCACAGACCCCCCTCTGGAAGATTTGGTGCAAGGGTCTGCTGTGTCCCCCCTGGAGGGGGACCTGCCTCCCAGTGAAGAACTCCCCACCGACATGAGCAATTCCTCCTCTTCCACACAAGATGAAGGTGAGGGCAACCGCCATCCTGCCTGGATTCTCCCAGATTTTAGATTAGGAGATCTAATCCGACCATCTCTCGTTCTTCCTTCCTTCTCCAGCTGAGGTGGAAGCCTTCTTCACGGACTTGCCAGGGCGGCTCCTGATCAATGCCGTGTATCATGTTGGAGCCGAGAGGCTGCAGCAAATGCTCTTCAGCGACTCCCAGTTCATACACAGCTTTTTGGACCAACGCAAATTCACAGGTAAGTGAGAAACCAGTTCAAATCACATCCTCGGTAGATATTTGGGAGCAAAGTTCAGGCAAAGAGTTTACATTGCAAAAACAAAGGAGGCTGCTGTTTTCTGTCTTATTTGCTGGATTAACCTTAGACTTCCATAACCTGGTTTCCAGTTGATGTATTGGATAAATATTTGGGAGGCCATTGCATAAACATCCAAGTACAAACTTCCCTGATTGCTAGAGGCACGACCTTCCTCCTTCCCAGATCATAGTAAAAAGCCTAATCCATAGTCTGTTGGAAAGAAAGTCGTAGAGATCCCTACGAATGAGAATGTTATTAAGGAAATATTAGAATGTGCAGAAATGAATAGATCAACACTTGCAATTAAAGAAAAGGAAGAATCTGATTATTATAGGAAATGGGAGTTATTTTATCAATGGTTAGAAAATAAATATGAAAATTAGAAAGAAAAGCAGAGAAGTGAAATATGGAAAATGTTTTAACGAAGTTAAATAAGCTAAGAAGAGCATTGTTATAATAGTAGGTATGTTAGGTATTAGTACTGTTGAGAGATATAACTTTTATTTGCGGTCACAGACCAAAATACAAATAGAATTGCAAAAGAATGTGGGGAAAGTAACATCATAAACAGTTGGCTACCAGAAGCCTTGGCTGAGAGGAATTACAGCGTTCTCCTCTAGTATTAGTACTGTTAAGAATAGACAAAATATTAAATATGGCTGTAAATTTTAATTATAATTGCACAAAAATATTTGTACCCAGATGACACGCTGTTTAATGAAAGATGAAATGTTTGTATTAAAATAAAATAAAAAAATTATTATAAAAAAAAAGGAAAGAAAATCTAAAAGTCTTCAACTGAACATCCCAAAGGTGCTTTTTTCAAAAGGAAACTGGGCTTTCTTTTGTTTTGCTTCAAGACGTTTCTCTTCTCATCCAAAAAGCTTCCTCAGTTCTGAACTGAATTGAAGAAGCTTCTTGGATGAGAAGCGAAACGCCTTCAAGGAAAAACAAAGAAAGTCCAGTTTCCCTTTTGGAAGAAAAAAAACAACACCACCTTTGGGATAACCATGACCTGGATGACTGAGAATCTCCATAGAGGTTCTTCACCTGAATGTCCGTGGAGGAAAATTGGTTTCAAAGAGGAAAATAGTTCAGCCGCTGGAATTCTTATATGCCCACCCAACTCAATCAAGTCTTACGGAACAGATCTGGGAATTGATTTGATTTGATTTGACTTAATTTGATTTATATGCCACCCTTCTCCGAAGACTCAGGGCGGCTTACAATGTGCTCAGCAATAGCCTTCAACCTTTTGTATATTTATACAAAGTCAGCTTATTGCCCCCACAACTGGGTCCTGTTCCTGTGCTGGAAACTATTGTTTTCAGTTTTAAGCAGCTGTCAACCAATCTTGGAACTCTTTGTGGCATGGTTACTGTCTGTTGCTTCCCTCACATCTGGTAGACGCCATCTTGGGAGCTATTGCCCTTCCCAGTTTTAAGTCAAATGAGGGCTCCTTGGTGCTCTCTGAGCTTGCTTGTTTTCTTGAAGATGTTTCATTACCCAACTAGGTAATATCATCACTGCTGGTTATCACCACCAGCACTGATGATGCTACCTAGTTAGACTAATGAACGGTCTGCAAGAAAACAAGCAAGCTCAATGGGCACCAAGGACCCCTCATGTCAACCCTGAGCTACAAATATTCTACTTCATTAGCAACTTTTTAAATGTCTGGATTCATATACCTATATCCGTATCCTTATCCATCATATCTAACTCCCCTGAAGCCTACAGCAAGTGTGACTGATGATGTTATAATATAATATTTCCAGATGGGGCACAGACAAACATTTTGGTCCTTTGGACTATTTTGGGTGGGTTAAGATGCAAACAGGGCACCCATTTTCCCTCACAGCCTTCCCTCACAGCAAGCCAAATCCCCAGGCCTAAATCCAGTGGTGAAATTCAAATTTTTTTTACTACCGGTTCTGTGGGCGTGGCTTGAGCGTGGGGTGGCTTGGTGGGTGTGGCTGGGGAAGGATATTGCAAAATCTCCATTCCCACCCTACTCCAGGGGAAGGATATTGCAAAATCTCCGTTCCCACCCCACTCTGGGGCCAGCCAGAGGTGGTATTTGCCGGTTCTCTGAACTACTCAAAATTTCCGCTACCGGTTCTCCAGAACCTGTCAGAACCTGCTGGATTTCACCCCTGCCTAAATCCCACCCACCCCCAATCCTAGAGGGCTCCAACAATTGTACAAGGGGTGCTGGGGAATCCCTCACGAGCCATAGATCGCCCACTGTTGAATTCATCCATTCAGTCCTATGATCCTTTTCCTTTTCAGTCCAAAGTTAATGGTTGTGAGAATGGATCGTAGTTCCCTGGCAGAGCCAAAGATCTCAGGTTGAGTTAAACTGGCTGTATCCTAGGCATGCAGGTAGCAACCCTTTGAAACCTTGAGTCCTGCCTGTTTTTTAAATGTGCCTTTTATTGTTTTTTTTTTTGGTGCCGGAAGCCTTGTGACCTTCAGAGATAATGGGTGTCCCATTAAATCCAAATTTGTGCCTGCTTTTGTCATTTGCATAATTACACGCTTGGTGTAAATTGTGTGGGTTGCAATAAAACCTTGACTCAACGAACTAACGTCCATTAAAGAGAGTGTGGTCTCTGAACGGAACATGTGTTTGCTGAATCCAGAGTTCACTAAACGATAATCTGTGTTTCATCAACTAAGACTTTACTGTGATCATTTTTTAAAATAAATGTTTTGAATTTAAATTTAAAAATAAATTATTATTTAAAATAAAAAAAATATTTTAATTATCCCTTGTTTTTCCTATCTTGTCCCCAACTTTTCTTTCTCCCGCTTCCTAGATGTTGCACTGAGTTCATGGAGCGGAGACAGCAAGTGTCATCAAAGCCGAGTCATCACCTACACCATTCCCATCAGTAACCCTTTGGGCCCCAAGGCTGCACCTGTGGTGGAGACACAGGTAGGGGCATTGGGTTCCTAAAAATACAGGTAGTCCTCAAGTCACGACTACAACGGAGCCTAAAATTTCTGTTGTTAAGTGAGACGTTTGTTAAGCGAGCTTTGCCCCCAATAAGGGATAGAGCCTTGGTAGTACAGTGGTTTAATGCACCCTGTAATTAACACAGCTGCCTGCAATTTCTGCAGGTTCGAATCTTACCAGGCTCAAGGTTGACTCAGCCTTCCATCCTTTCTAAGGTAGGTTAAATGAGGACCCAGTTTGTGGGGGCAATAAGCTGACTTTGTATAAATATACAAAAGTATGAAGGCTATTGCTTAACGCCTTGTAAGCCGCCCTGAGTCTCCGGAGAAGGGCGGCATATAAATCAAATTAAAAAAAAAAAAAAAGGGATAAGTTAATAACCCGGTTGTTAAGTGGATCTGGCTTCCCCATTGACTTTGCTTCTCGCCAAAGGGGGATCATGTGACCTTGGGATGCAGCCACGGTCATAAATATGAACCAGGGGTGAAATGTAAAATTTGTTACTACCGGTTCTATGGGTGTGGCTTGGGGGGGGTAATGTGACTGGGTGGGTGTGGCCAACTTTTTTTTTTTTTTACTCTTCAAAGCATTTTTTCTAATGCTTTGAAAAGCCTCTCTGCCGATCAGGCAACTCAGCTGGGATCGTCAGAGACTTTTCAAAGCATTTGTTTTACCACCTCTTCGGCCAAGAGGTTGCAGAAAAAAATGCTTTGAAAAGCCTCTGACGATCCCAGCTGAGCCGCGCGATCATCGGAGGCTTTTTTTTTTACTTTTAAAAGCATTTTTTCGTCGGAAGAGGTTGTAGAAAAAATGCTTTTAAAAGTAAAAAAAAAAAAAAAAGCCTCTGATGATCGTGCGGCTCAGCTGGGCATGTGGGGGTGGGGCGCAGGGATTTTTGCTACCGGTTCTCCGAACCACTTGCCGCCATCGCTACCGGATCGGACGATCCGGTCTGAACCGGGAGCATTTCACCCCTGATATGAACCCGTTTCCAAGCGGCTGAATGTTGATCACATGACCATGGGGATGCTGCAGAGGTCGGTAATTGTGAAAAACGGTCCTAAATCACATTTTTCAGTGTCGTCGTAACTTTGAACGGTCACTAAACGAACTGTTGTAACTGGAGGACTACCTGTATTAAGACGGGTGAACAAAGCAAGGTCATGGTGTTTTGATCTGCTGGCTGTCCCAGTACAGATAGCCCTCCCCTTCCAACAGTTTGTTTAATGACCGTTTGAAGTTACAACGGCACTGAAAAATGTGACTTAGGACCCTTTTTCACAATTACGACCTTTGCAGCATCCCTGTGATCACATGATCAGAATTCAGGCAACTGACTCACATTTATGACGGGTTGCAGTGTCCCGGGGTCACGTGATCCCCCTTTGCGACCTTCTGATAAGCAAAGTCAATGGGGAAACCAGATTCACTTGACAAGCAGGTTACTAACTTAACGACTCTGGCGATTCATTTAACAACTGGGCCAAAACTCAACAAATGTTTCACTTAACAACAGAATTGTGGGGCTCCATTGTGGTCGTAAGTCGAGTGGTGCGGTGGCCTGGAGGTGATGCTCTCGCCTCACAATCAGGAGGCTGTGCGTTCGATCCTAGGTAGAGGTAGATATTTCTCTCTCTGGGCACAGTGAGAATATATCTGCTGAAACAAAACTCCACATTGGCAACAGGAAGGGCATCCGGCCATTAAAACACTCAGCTCCATTCAGTTGCCCAGACTCCACCCTGAAACGGATTATGGGGTCGTTAAAAGAGCATGACGATTGTGGTCTTAAGTCGAGGACTTACCTTTAACTTAACTTTTAAGCCAGTGTTTCCTTGAGACGGATGGGCATGGGTAAAGCATAGCATTTTCTAAGAATGGGTGCCAAAAACTGAATGTCTGCTTATCATGCCTTTCTCTTCCTCTTTGACTGCTGGATGCTAGACTCTTTTCCGTGCCAGTTCCAAGAATGGAGGCTGTGTGGTGGACTCAGAAGTGGTCACTCAGGGCATCCCTTACCAGGATTACTTCTACACTGTGCATCGGTACTGCATCACCAACGTAGCCAAAAGCAAAGCCAGGCTCAGGTATTCATTCTTGGATCACTCCCTTCTCGGCCGCACCTGTACGGTTGGCAAACAGGGCTATTTTCCCCATATTTTTCAAGGAATTCGGTTAGGAGAGTCTAAAACATCGTGGAAATTGCTGGGGAAGAAACGGGGGGTGGGAGTGGGAGGTGGTTGCCCGTGGCAGCCATAATAAGCTTCAAGTTCATCAAAACGTTGACATGGATCATGTTATAGAGTGAAAAAAAGGGACGCGGTGGCTCAGTGGCTAAGACGCTGAGCTTGTCGATTGAAAGGTCGGCAGTTCAGCGGTTCGAATCCCTAGTGCCACGTAATGGGGTGAGCTCCCGTTCTTTGTCCCAGCTTCTGCCAACCTAGCAGTTTGAAAGCACGTCAAAAATGCATGTAGAAAAATAGGGACCACCTTTGGTGGGAAAGTAACAGCGTTCTGTGCACCTTTGGCATTTAGTCATGCCGGCCACATGACCATGGAGATGTCTAAATGCTACTCCTATTGCTATTCTCCAAAGCACCTGAAGGCAGGACAAGAAGCAATGGATGGAAACTAATCAAAGAGAGAAACAGCCTAGAACTAAGGAGAAATTTCCTGACAGTGAGAACGATAAACTAATGGAGCGACTTGCCTCCAGAAGTTGCGGGTGCCCCAACAGTAGAGGATTTTAAGAAGAGATTGGGCAACCATTTATCTGATATGGTGTAAGGTTCCCTATTTGATCAGGGCATTGGACTAGAAGACCTTCAAGGTCCCTTCCAACTCTGTTATTCAATCAGAATGGGGAAGAAGCAACACAAAACATATTAAGCCAGCCAGTTCGCAGTTTGCAGCTCAGAGTTCATCTTGAGATAGAGACGGTGTTCTAAATGCACGACTGTAGGCATCTTCGGGTCATCTTACATGTTAGCATTCAGCAACAAAGGATGACTGATATCCCCACCTTCCCGGTTCTGAAAACACACAGGTTACTGAGCCTCTGATCTCCTTGGAGAACACTTGATCTTGTAACTGCAGAGGAAATGGAAGAAGATGAGAGAGAGATAGGAAAGATTAAATAACGCCAGAGATCCTTTGGGTTGCAAGCCGAACGAAGTAGCCCATTCTTTGCCCAAATGGGTTCCTCTTCAGGTTTCCCAGCATTCCACGAGGGAAACAGAAAGCTTCTTTGGCCCACCTGTAACAGTCATTCTCAGTGGTGGATTCAGCCGGTTTGGCTGACCTGTAACAGTCGTTCTCAGTGGTGAATTCAGCCGGTTTGGCCAATCTGTAACAGTCGTTCTCAGTGGTGGATTCAGCCGGTTTGGCCCACCTGTAACAGTTGTTCTCAGTGGTAGATTCAGCCGGTTTGGCCGACCTGTAACAGTCGTTCTCAGTAGTGTATTCAGCCGGTTTGGACCAGTTCGGGCGAACCAATAGTGACAACATGAGAGTGTGTTTGCCCACCTGCCCTGGCACTATGACGTCCTATTTAGCCACATTTTCTAAACTGTGTGCATGCGTGCAGGCCGTGAGCAAAGCGCGTGCACGGAAGCCGCAAGCATGCTCACATTTTCGGTGTGCAGCGAACCGGCGGTAAAATGATGTGAAACCCATCTCTGGTCGTTCTCCATTACAGAGTCTCTTCTGAAATCCGATATCGGAAGCAGCCATGGTCCCTTGTGAAGACTTTTATTGAAAAAAACGCCTGGAGTGGTGTTGAAGAATACTTCCAGCACTTGGGTGAGTGAATCAAGGGGACAAGCTAGATTGCAGAACCTGTGCTTTGGAACAACTACAACACAGTCTGGGTTGGGTTCCCTTCTATCTTCCCATTCATAAAGTTCATCGACTTCTCCCAGGAGAGGTTATTAGAGAATAGGTAGTTCTGAAGTAAGGGACGCGGTGGCTCAGTGGCTAAGACGCTGAGCTTGTCGATCAGAAAGGTCGGTGGTTCGAATCCCTAGTGCTGCGTAACGGGGTGAGCGCCCGTTACTTGTCTCAGCTTCTGCCAACCTAGCAGTTCGAAACCACGTAAAAAATGCAAGTAGAAAAAATAGGGAGCAGCTTTGGTGGGAAGGTAACAGCGTTCCCTGTGCCTTTGGTGTTGAGTCATGCCGGCCACATGACCACAGAGACGTCTTTGGACAGCGCTGGCTCTTTGGCTTTGAAACGGAGATGAGCACCACCCGCTAGAGTTGGGAACGACTTTACTAGTTCTGTAGTGGTCTGAGATATCCACCTGTAGTAGCCATGTGCAGAATGAGACAAAAGTGTAGATCAGGGGTGTCAAACTCAATTTCATTGAGGGCCGCATCAGGGTTATGTTTGACCTCGGAGGAGGGGCTGAGGTGGGCGTGGCCAGCTCAACGTCACTCGTGTCGGGGGCGCCTGTGGTGGCTCAAATGCTCTGCCAGTGAAAATGGGCTCCTGAGCTCCGTTTTCAGCTGCGACAGCTTCCTGCAACCCTCTCCTAGAGAAAACGGAGCTGGGGAGGGCTGCCATTGGCCCTTCTGAGCTCCGTTTACACTGGCAGAGGCACTGCAGGCTGGTCCTTTGTTGTTTCCAGGGTAGCCCTGTGGGCCAGATCTAAGCATCCCGCGGGCCAGATTTGGCCCCCGGGCCTTGAGTTTGACACACCTGGTGTAGATGTTTTGGAAAGGGAGAGAGGCTGATGTATCGAGATCATCATTTTAGGTACAAATGCAGCCCTGCAACTCCTTCATCTCTGTGGTCTTAAACGTTGTTTCAGAATTGGCACTGGTGCAAGCAGAAAAGGCTCTGTTAGAGGAAAGCTGCCATGGCAAAGAACCCCGGGGTCTCTTGTCCGGATTGCGTCGCAGGAAACGGACCTTGAGCTGGAGGGCTCCTCACGTCGAAGCCCCAATGCCCACGCTACCCGATAGCGAAGGGGCATCGCGTACTGTTCGCCCTTCAGGTATGCCTCCTTGCTGGGAATGGTCTACTTCCTTCCCCTTCCCGGATGTATAAGGAATCGAGCCGTGGTGGCGCGGTGGTTGGAGTGCAGTACTGCGGGCTACTTCTGCTGACTGCCGGCTGCCTGCAATTTAGCAGTTCGAATGTCACCAGGCTCAAGGTTGACTCAGCCTTCCATCCTTCCGAGGTGGGTAAAATGAGGACCCAGATTGTTGGGGGGCAATATGCTGATTCTGTAAACCGCTTAGAGCAGGGGTCTCCAACCTTGGCAACTTTAAGCCTGGCGGACTTCAACTCCCAGAATTCCCCAGCCAGCAAAGCTTAGAGAGGGCTGTAAAAGCACCGTAAAGCGGCATGTAAGTTTAAGTTCTATTGCTATTGCTAATCTATGATTCTCCACACATTACTGAACTACTCCTTGTGTAGTTCAATAATGCCTGGAGCACCTCAAGTTCCTTTTGTTCTCTGTCCTTTGATCTGTTGGTTTTCTGTCCTTTAGGCAGCCTGACCTCACGTCTTTCGGAACAACTGTTGGAGCCAGGACAGGGACAAACCGTCTCTACCGTCATCCTCGTCATCAGTCTGGTGTAAGGAAGCTGCTTTTTGGGGGATATAGGTTGGGCTGTATTTGGAGATTGTCCCCCATTCTGATTTTGACTTCAGTTCCCAAATGGGATTTTAGTAGAGCCTGGAATTCCTCTTAATGGGTAGGGTGGCTTCGAAGTTAGCAAGGCTGCTTGAAAGAAAATAAAGTCAGACGCATGACCATCAAAACGAGGCTTTTCTTTCGGCTCCCCAAACTGAAACGACCTTGTTGTCCCTTTGCTTGGTGGGATGCAGTAAAAGGAGCCTTGATAGTACAGTGGTTTAGTGCACCCTGTTATTAACACAGCTGCCTGCAATTACTGCTGGTTCGAATCTCTCCAAGGCTCAAGGTTGACTCAGCCTTCCATCCTTTCTAAGGTAGGTGAAATGAGGACCCAGTTTGTGGGGGCAATAAGCTGACTTTGTATAAATATACAAAAAGGATGAAGGCTATTGCTTAACGCATTGTAAGCCGGCCTGAGCCTCCGGAGAAGGGCGGCATATAAATCAAATTTTTTTAAAAAAAATGTCAAGGCTGGTTGGAAAGCCTTGAGTGCTTTCACTTTGCAATCTCATGTTTGCTTTCCTTAGTTACTAATACCTAAAAAGGGATGCTGGCTTGTGGTTTAAGGTGTACCACTATCTTCCTAAGATCCCTCACCCTCCTTCTTTTCTCTAGGTGGGTTGGTTGGTTTATTATTTTGATTTATCTGCCTTCCCCCCCATACCCCCTCAAAATAATAATAATAATAATAATAATACAAATTCACGACTCTGGGCCGTTCCCAATAGTTAAAATACCATAAAACGTAATTGAATGAACGGTTTCTAAGTTAACTAACTTAATTTCCTGCTAAATTAGCAACCTTATTTGTTTGAAAAGTACAATCGAGTTTGGGGAAAGTCTGGTGTGGCAGCATCTATGGTGGGTAATTTTTTTCCTTGTCTTTCTTTTATTGATGAGAGAATGCAGGAACAAAGCTTCATTTCTTTCTTTCTTTCTTCCATTCCTTCCTCTTTCTTTCTTTCTTTCTTTCTTTCTTTCTTTCTTTCTTTCTTTCTTTTCTTTCTTTCTTTCCTTCCTTCCTTCCTTCCTTCCCCTTCCTTCCTTCCTTCCTTCCATTCCTTCCTCTTCCTTCCTTCCTTCCTTCCTTTCCTTCCTCTTTCTTCCTTCCTTCCTTCCTTCCTTCCTTCCTTCCTTCCTTCCTTCCTTCCTTCCTTCCTTCCTTTCTTTCTCTTTTTCTTTCGTTCTTGCCTCTGCACAGGATCTGTGTGAGGTATTGTATGCCAACAGCCCCGCAGCGCTGGCCATGTTGCTACTGCCTTGGACATCCCTGCCCCCTCCCTTGAAACACCCCCTCCCCCCCATCCTGCCATGCCTTCCTGCTTTGAAAACCTGCAGCTTCCACCCTGCCTTCCTTCTTTCTTTCTGACGATCCCAGAAGCCCCAGTGGCTTCTTCATCCTGGCTTGGTTCTGGTTTCTTGATTGGCCTTCATGAGTCCTGCCATTTCAATCTCTGCCTGAGCCGTCTGGCAGTCACTTCCATGATGTCTTCCACTATTGCTTATCCTTCACCCCCACTGCACTCCGCTTACCATGTCTCTTATCCCTCGCCCCAATTCTAAACTGTGATCCCCACCCAGATTAAACAGGAAACGGGGGGGTGGGATGGGGAAAGCAGGTGGGCCTAATCCTTAGCCAGAATCTGCCTTACACACGATTCCACCTACAGTTTCCTTCTTGCTTGCCTCATTCAACTTACCAGTTGCTTTTCTGTAGCATCCCTATTCTGTCCTGCAAATGGTGGTGGTGGGAGTTGGGGGAGGGCAGGGGGAGCTAACTTTCTCCCTGTCCCATCTTCATTCTTAGGGCTTCTGATATTTCAGCCTATACATTTTTAAAGCTCAGAGAGCCAGCCACTGAATGAAAGATGGATTTTGTGTCCAAGGTTAATGTGATTGCCTATGCAAAAATAGTAAGACTATCTCAGGGAGTTACGGTACTCTGCCTGCTGGAGACCCCTTCCTTAGCTCAGGCTGAGATTATCTTCTGCACCGACAGCGCTATCAATGCATAGATGTCTGATATTGGCCCCTGTGATGTTGTGCACATTATGAAATTCATATCCTCTGCACAATGACAGCATGGCGTGCATGATATTGCTTTTCTCTCCCTCCTCTGTCGATCCAGATGCATTGATGTGTTTCCTCTGTGCCCACTACGGTGACTAGCTCGGTGATTAAAAGACCCAGGTCACACAGTGCATTAAACCAGGCGGTTATTCAGTGGTATAAAGACTCGTATAACCACATTTGAACCAAACCGAATAGATCGCTGCAGGATTGAGGCAAACCGTGAAGGCAGTCTTTAGGGATGCTATTTTACTATGTCGTTATTCTTAGGAAGCTATAAATAAGAATATCAGGATATTTTAACCCCTGGGTGTTTTTGTGGCATCATTTTAATCATGATCTTGAAGGGATTATTCCCGGTGAGTATCCATCAGTGGTGCGGTGGCCTAGAGGTGGAGCTCTCACCTCACAATCAGGAGGCTGCGAGTTCGATCCTAAGTAGAGGCTGATATTTCTCTCAATGAGAATATATCTGCTAAATATAACTCCGCATTGGTGACAGGAAGGGCATATGGCCAGTAAACGCTCTGCTAGCTCCATTCAGTTGCCCAGACTCCATCCCGCAAGGGATTATTCCCAGTGAGTATCCATTTTGATTGTGACTCTTTACCGAATCCCCCATAGTGGGAATGCTTTATTTGTATGTATGTGTGATGTGTGTGTGTATCAGTGATGGGTTTCAATTTTTTTTACTACCGGTTCGGTGGGCGTGGCTTGGTGGGCATGGCAGGGGAAGGATACTGTAATATCTCCATTCCCACCCCACTCCAGGGGAAGGATACTGTACAATCTCCATTCCCTCCCCTATCCAGGGGAAGGTGACTGCAAAATCCCCATTTCCTCCCAATCAACTGGGACTCAGGAGGCAGAGAATAGATGGGGGCAGGGCCAGTCAGAGGTGGTGTTTACCGGTTGTTCGAACTATGCCAAATTTCCGCTACCGGTTCTCCAGAACTGGTCAGGACCTGCTGAAACCCACCTCTGGTGTGTATGTATGTATGTATGTGGTAGAATTTAAATGACTAACAATTCCTCCATATTTCATAAGCACATCCCCTGTCTGTATGTGTGTGTGTGTGTGTAAGTGTGTGTGTGTGTGTATATATATTATATAGGGGATGTGCTTCCTGTGACATATGGAGGAATTTTTGGTCATTTAAATTCTATCACATTCTAGCTGGAATTGAGTGCCACCTTGGTCTGAATGGGTCCTTTATGTTACCAACATGTTTGTGTTTCTCTGTAGTCTTTTAGTTCTGGTCATCCTCAACATGATGCTGTTCTACCGGCTATGGTCTCTGGAGCACACAGCCCGGACCGTGGAGTCATGGCAGACGTATGCGCTCTCCAATGGGTGAGAAAGGCTCTCTGGAAAAGAGAAAACGGGAGACTGACTTTCTTTAGAGATTTTGAGAATTTAATGCAAGCTAATGTAGCAAGAGCACTTACTTAGATACCATTTCGTCTAAGCCAGTCATGGGTAACCTTTTTGCTGTCTCATGCCAAAAGCAGGAGGAGTGGGGGAGGGGTCGCATGCATGTGTGCCCACCTCCATAATTCAATTCAACAAAAAAGCTCCCTTCACTTTTGGCGCACGATGGCAAAAAGGTTACCGTTGGGCCTGTTGTTTGCCCTCCCCAGGCTCCAGAGGCTTTTTTGGAGCCTGGGGAGGTTGAAAACGGCCTTCCCCACACCCCTAGAGGCCCTCCGGAGGCCGGAAGCAGCCCATTTCCCGACTTCCAGTTGGCCCGGAAGGCCCGAAAATCAGCTGGCTGGCACACGCGTGCACACTGGAACTGAACTAGGGCAATGCTCGCGTGCCCACAGATATGGTTCCGCGTGCCACAGGTTCGCCATCATGGCTCTAAGCAGTTTACAGAGTCAACATGTCCCCAACAATCTGGGTCCTCATCTTATCGACCTCGGGAGGATAGAAGGCTGAGTCAATCTTGAGCCAGTGAGAATCGAACTCCTGACAGTGGAATGCAGAGTCAGCCTGCGATACTGCATTCGAAGCACTGCACCATCACGGCTCATGGACTAGGGGTCTTGAATTCTCTCAGAAACCTTGGCAAAATGCCATTTGAATTGAGGGAAAGGCAGAACAATCTTCTCAAGATAGCTTATTGCTGTTTAATATAATTTAGTGTTTATGTCAAGAAATAATATGTTGCAAATTAGCCTCTCAAAGAATAGCAATGAAGGCAATTGAAAAATATACTCTAATGTCTTGATGGGCCAATATTTACAAATATCAGACTATGCAAGCAGTGGGTTTCCTTGTGACACCTTATAGAAGTGAAAGTTGGACTTTGAAATAGCAGCTTTGGATCTTTGATGTTGGACAACACTCGTTGAGAATATCATGGAGAGCCAAGAAAGTCAACAACAGATAGATCACAGAACAAATCTGTTTCAAGACTTCTCACTCAAAATACAAATAACCAGATTCAAATTTTCATATTTTGGATACCTTATGTAAAGACGTAACTCTGTTAAGAAGTTCATAATGCTAGGAAAGATGGTAGGAGAGAGAGAAGAGGATGACTCAAGGTAGATGGTAGAAGATAGATGGACTCAATTATAGTGGCAATGAGTATACTTCTAGAAGAACTGAAGGAGAAGGTTGGGACAGAACCTTCCAGAGAAGTTCTATCTATGTGACTACTTAGAGTAGATGCTTGCTTGATGGTACGTAATCCACCAGTCCATCAATAGCATTTAAGCTGGCTGGGGAATTCTAGGAGTTGAAGTCCACAAGTTGCAGAGGTTGAGAAATACTGTTCTGCTATGAAAATGTTTTTAAATTAGACAAAATTAAATTAGGCATGTTTATACATCGGATGCTTTTTAAATCAAAGCCACTAATCATTTTGACCATTTTTGCTTTGCAAAAAGACCTTGATGCTTAAAATGTAAAAAAAAAAAAAAATGTAGTCATAATAAAATTGTATCTTATGGTTGAAAAGCTGGGTATAAATCAATAAAGAGACAGCAGAAACCAAAACAGATACAAGTGGAATGAGAAACATATTTATTATCAGAACATTTTAAAGCAGGTCAGGAACCCTCAAAAGAAAACCAATGTTATTGACATTCCTCGCGGAGTTATATCTTCAGTGGTAAACCAAGATTTGACACTATGTGAAACAAAGATGATGAATTACGCAGCGTTATTTTAAAAGAATTACCTTTATTGTATCTGTAAAGTTTTTTTCTCGTGCTAAACAGTGATTAACTTAAGACAGAGGTCTTCAAACTTGGCAGCTTTAAGACTTGTGGATTTCAACTCCCAGAATTCTGGGAATTAAAATTTGTTTTGAGCACAACTTTGGAAAACATACTTTCTAACGTTGAAATGTTCGGGGTTATTGCCTGGAAAAGCATATCGTAATTCAAATAAAACATGTCAGGCTTTTAGTTTATCCCTAAGGAGGGCAGAGAATCAATTCTTTTAAATGAATTTACCTTATAGAATAGCTAGGATAAAACAAAGAAAGGATACCACTTTTCTGGGGGAAAATATATTATTAAGTATATTAAACAGGTGGATGAATACCGAGGATCAGTAAATTATTTGAAATACTGTGCAACAGGATTTAGGAAGCTGATATCCTTGCCTTTCTATAGCCAATAGAATTAATTGCTCTCTAATAAATGCAGTCCTCTGAGTGGAATAAAATAGAATACAATAAAATAATATAAAACCCAATTTAAAAAAAATCCCGCAGTACAATAACAGAGAGAAAATCGTTGGCAATAAAGTGCTGTGAACTTTCCACAGTTTTTAAAATGTTTGAGCCAATGAAATGTTTTTTTGTTTGACATAGTGAAGCTGTAAGATAGCTGTACCAGAGTCTTTTGAGGAAGCATTCCTAAAACTTGGATTCTGCCTTGTTTGGGAAAAGTTTTCAGATGAAATCCATCCATCAAGATAAATCAACCAAGCGTTGGATGTGTCTTGCAAGCTCCAGAAACCCCAGGTAGATGCAAGCTGATTTTCCGATAGGCCAAACTTGCTTCTAAAATAGAATTATAACCTTCCCTTCATACCTCTAAAGCCCAAGAACAGTGGTGGTGCAGTGGTTAGAATGCGGTATTGCAGGCTAATTTCTGCCGACTGCCAGCAGTTCGATTCTCACCAGCCCAAGGTTGACTCAGCCTTCCATCCTTCCGAAATCGGTAAAATGAGGACCCGGGTTGCTGGGAGCGGATATGCTGATGCTGTAAACCACTTAGAGAGGGCTGTAAAGAACTGAAGTAGTATATAACTCTAAGTGCTATTGGTATAAAATCTCACCTCCTCCAGTATGTTTTAGCCCTAAAACGTATGTTCTGACCTAGGCTTCCCCAAACCATGAAGCAGACTCCTCGTCCCGATAAAACCTCTTTTATTTAGGTTAAAGAGAATTCCTCTCCAGCAAAGACCCGGCAAACAGTCTTCTATGAGATTTCACAACTACAGACCTTTTTCAGGCTTGGAGAGTTGCCAGGCCGATATCTTCCAAACGCCACACTGGAACAGCACTTACTTGGCAAGAAGTCAGGAACAGATCTTCACCCTAATGAATTGAACTAATTGTCTCCTGCAAACTCTTCCCCCCTCCTTCGTTCCTCTTTGTTCCCTTTGGAAGGGGCCATTCACCGTCCACCTGTGCCTTTACTCCCGAGTCGGCCCTTGTTCCTTAGCTTTTCTCTTCTCCTGGTAGCTCTGCACATGCGCACATCAGGAACAGGCTCCAGCTGTTCTTCGGCCCCACTGATGTCCGACTCTGAAGACAGTTGTTCTGTCCCCCTTCCTCACACAGGCAAACGTAATACCAAGCACGCCTGCCAATATTTTATTAGGAAAACAGATTAGAATTCTAGGCAGACCAAGGTTTTGGCAGCAGACTGCCGAATGCCTGCCAAGACCGTTTTCACTCCCATAAAGCAGAAGAGGACTTATCTTCAGTCCGTTCCAGGAGCAACAAATTATCCATGAGACAAGAGTTTAGTCAATGTTCAGTCCAAAATATATCCAAGCCGAATTTCAGAGATTACGATGTGACTTTCAAGGTTTAACTTTGTTCGTCACAAAGCCTGAAGAGTAATCCCACCCACTTTTATTCCTGGTGGGGCGTGGCTCCGTGACTCAGCTCAATCTCTGACCCTCCTACGCCTCTTCCGTTGCTGTGCACACTTCTCCCTCCGACGCTGCCTGGGATCAAGCCAGGATTCATCATCCTCGCTCCCTATCAATTGGTGGCTCTGATATGCCTTCCTCCCGACACATCCCAGGCTGTTCCTCCTGGCCTTCGGATGGAACCTGAGGCATTGCCAGAAAGGAGGGTCCTGGAGAGGGAGGCCTTGTCAGTTCCTCCCCATCACCTTCTGAATCCTCTTCCTCTGTCAGGACAGGCTCGGGAGTCGGGGTCACAACAGCTGATAACTGTCGGATGGCCCTGGCCCCATCTCTGCCTCCAATGCAGAGCCCTCATCAGAGCCTTCCCCAGACTCTAGGACTGGCCCATGTTCTTCCCCAATCTCCTCACTGTCTGAGTCTGCCACCAGCTCCGCTGGCAGGCCACAACAACATATAGCTCTAAATTGCTATTAAAAAGGTTACTGAGAAGAGAATATAGCGAATGGCAAAAGGTTGCTCCCCCAACCTTAGAATCAGGGGAGTTAGGTTCTGGAAGGCCAACTGGCTTCTGCCTTAAACAGTAGTGATGGGTATGATAATTCACAGGAAGTAAATTCAGAGAGCGGACACACTGCTGAACCATTGCCGTTAAGAGAATTCTGTCTCCTCCTTGCCTGGCAGGAAGCTTCCACAGACGGCCTCGGAATGGGCAGAGATTTTGGAACTGCAGAAACAGTTCCATAGTGTGGAGGTGCAAAAGTGGAAACAGATCCTGAAGGCATCCGTGGAACTTTTGGATGAGGTTTGTTTTCCAATTTGAATGTTCCTCCAGTCCACCTAAGTTCATAGAAAAATGTGAGAAACGATGCTCCAATCCTTGGTTTCCAGAATCCTTTTTAAGAGTCAGAGATTTCCATCAGATGTTGACCATACAGAGATTGAGATATATCAACTTCATTCCTTCATCGTTAGGCAGGTTCGACCTGATGGATATTGAAGTTCAAATGGGCAGGAAGGCACCAGATTGTCTACCTCTGTATCGAAAGTTTTGAAAGCAGCTTCAAAGCAAGGATGGGGAATCTGTGATTCTCTTTCTGAGGGATCTTTGGAGGCACCAGATCAGTGGTGGGATTCAGCCGGTTTATTTATTTATTTATTTATTTATTTATTTATTTATTTATTTATTTATTATATTTCTATACCGCCTTTCTCCCGTAGGACTCAAGGCGGTGTACAGTCAAGAAAAAACATAGACACCCAAACACCACAAAATTGCTAATTAAAATTGCCACTTAGTTTGGTCAATTAAATAAAACCCAGAATTAGATAACATTTAAAAAATCATTCGCATTTTTGTATGTTTAGCCCCGCCTGTTGGAACATCAGGGTCTTGAGGGCACGGCGGAAAGCACGGAGATCAGGGATATTCTGTATCTCCGGGGGCAGTTCATTCCAAAGGGTTGGAGCCCCCACAGAGAAGGCCCTCCCCCTGGGAGTCGCCAGTCGACATAATTTGGCTGACGGTACCCTGAGTAGTCCCTCCCTGTGAGAACGAACTGGTCGGTGGGAGGCTATTGGTGGCAAAAGACGGTCTCATAGGTTCTGTCCGGTTCGAGCAAACCGGTAGCAGTGACTGCGGTAGGTCCCGCCCACCTGCCTGGACGTAATCCCGTCCTATATTGCAACATTTTGGAGGCTGTATGCATGCGCATATAGTGCACGCATGACCAAAGAGCATGCGCCAAAGGCCGAGCATGCGTGGAAGGTGCACGTTCACATTTGCAAACCGGTAGGGCAGGTAAGTGAATCCCACCTCTGCCCCAGATCCAGTGATGGGAGAAGCGCAGATTCCCCATCCTTTAACAAAAAGACAGAAAATCCAAAATCTTAGGATATGGAATTGGGTACCCAACACTCACATGTGACTATGAACTGCTACGGTGACCATTTAAGCAAGTCTTTGATATCCCAATTGTCTCACGATGTGTTGAAACAATTGTATGGACACGATAGTCATCACCACATCACAAGATTGCAGAAGCCTGGCTTAAGGCTCATCTACCTGTGGTGCACAAACATGTAAAACTGAAATACTGATGGGATCTTTACCCATAGGTTGGGCTCAACCACTACTTTAATATCTTTGGTTGATGGTTTGGCAACGTTTTGTGAAAGCAACCAGTTCTGCCTTGCCCAATGAAATGTGGAGATTACCGTGTTACGTTGTGGGATTCGTTGTCTAGTTTTGAAATAAACAATCACCAGCCAAAACTTCCAAGAGAAAACAATGGTAATTTTATTAACTGCTTTGCAAAGAGGGTGCCCCCCCTGCACACGCAGGTATAGTGGACACACCCTAAATCATCAATATGTTTGCCTTATATTCCCTATTGCCATTACAAATTTACCTCCCACCTTTTTCCCCTTGGCTGCTCATTCATGCCGTCACACCCTATCCAATGGGTTTAAAGCAGGGATGAAATTCTCACGAATTGGTAGTGAAAATGCTACCGGTTCGCCTGAACCGGTAGTAAAAAAATGGCACAGCTGATCATCTGAACATTTTTTAAAACTTTTTTTTAAAGTATTTTTTTACTACCCGTTCGGGCAATAGGTAGTAAAAAAAATGTTTAAAAAAAAGGGGGGGGGGAAGGTTTGACAATCAGCTGTGACAATCAGCTGTGCCGGAGGATCCTTGGAACTTTTTTGGGGAACTGGGGAGGGTCCGTTTTGGCTCCCAGGAGGCTTCCCTAAGACCTGCTTGGCCAAAACCGGGGAGTTGGAGGGGGTGGAAAGAAAGAAGGAAGGAAAGAAAGAAAGAAAGAGAAAGAGAGAGGGGGGGAGAAAGAAAAGGAGGGAAGGGAGAAAGAAAGAAAAAAGGGAGGGAGGAGAGAAAGAAAGAGAAAGAAAGAAAAAGAAAGAGGGAGGGAGGGAAAAAGGAGAGGAAGGAAGGACCACAAACCTGGCACTAGGCGCAGCTTCAGTGGATACCTTGAAAGAGCACAGCAATCCAGGGCTGGAAGGGACCTGGAGGTCATCTAGTCCAACTCCCTGCTCCAGCAGGACATTGTTAAAATGAGTTTCTGTCTTTTGACCCCCCAGTCACATGACTACATAGCCATGCCCACCCAGTCACATGACCCTGCCAAGCCGTGCCCGCCAAGCCACACCCACAGAACCGGTAGGAAAAAAATAAAGGAAATCGAGTTTGACAGCCCAACTCTAGAGTAACTATCATATCAGGAAATTCTGGGTTAAGGCCAGTTTTTAGCATTAGCGGAGACCTTCCTACATACAATTCTCAAGCTTCAGCCTTGCTCATGAGATTAGAAACATATACGCTGCATTTTCTTCACGGGCTTACATGTCTTCTCAACAATTCTGTACAAACAATAAGCTCTTGTTTCCCATAACGTGAACTCAACCCCAGCATCCTTCTTGTTGGTTGGGGCAAGGCTTTCCTCTTTGGGGAATAACCGATTCTTCTCTTTTCCACCAGATGAAGCTCTCCCTTGAGAAGCTGCAGCAAGGCATCCTGGTGGCAGAGCCCCCGTTGGAACCGGAGTGAAGCCTCAAGATCTTCCTCCCTCTCTCTCTTTTGAAGAGGTTGCCGAGTTACCAGAAATTAAGACTCCTGAGATCCGTCTCAGAAACTTGTCGAACCGTTGGCGTGGGCCTCCTGTGGGAGGGGACAGCATTGTGTGCTCCTCGCCAGATCCATCACCTTGGACATTATCCTCGAGAGAGCGAGACACTGGTAGCGATGGATCACTTGGTTTTTGCCGGGAACATCTCTCTTGGATCATTCTCCCTGGGATCGTTCCTGTAGGGACTCCTCTTTATCCCTTTCCCCCACTTCAGTGCTATTTATATTGTACCCAGGTCCCTGTCCCCCGAGAATCCTTGATTTTCCTGTATCCTGGCACTGGTTCTTTTTTTTTTTAAACCAGCTATTGTTTGGGGAGGAAGGAGGGTGGGATCAGTTTTGGGGAGGGGGATGGCCTCTGGAGCCAGGATCTCTCTTTTTACCCTGAAACTTCACTCAGCAGCTAAGATACCCTATTGGAGGACAGCAAAGAACCAACTTCTGCCATTCTCTCTTTCTGTGTCTCTGTCTCTGTCTCTCTCTTAACGCACAAGCGATCATGAACTGATGGTGGGGCGAAAGCAATTCAGAGGCTCCAAGGGGGTTCATTCCTTCTCCAGCTCTCTTCCCTGCTGCTTCCCTGCCCTGTCTTTCCTCCCGTTCAGTGGGTCGATTGTCCACGTGGTTAAAAGGGATTTTCCCAACCAATTACCTCTGCCATAGGCTTTTCAGCTCCTGCATTTTCACACACACAGAAAAAGCAAGGGGGACTGGATTACAGCATCTTGCTGATGGCATCTATTAACACAGAAAACTTTCTGAACAAGGGGGTCACCTGTGAAGTATCCTTGGAACTTTGAAAGATAACATACACCAGCAGTTCTCTATAGATACCTATTTTGCTGGAGTCCAGTCCAACCCTTTTTTTTCAAAGTAGTATTTGGACTTCCGAAAGTTATCAGCTGACATCTGCTCCTCTTGGGACTGTATTTACGCAACACTAAAGCCAGATGCCTGTTTAAAGAGCACACCTGTTTTTCCCCCTGTGCATAGCCAGTCATGAACTCAATGCAAGGTTTCTAACCTTGACAACTTTTTAAGATATCTGGACTTCCAACTCCCACAATTCCCCAGCCAGCATGGGGAAATTCTGGGAGCTGAAGTCCAGACATCTTAATATTGCTAAAGATTGAAAAACCATGACTTTACTGTGTGTAAAATCTGAACCAGAAACACCTAATAGCCAGGTAAATCTCACCATTTGAGATTGATTGAAAATGGACTTTGCAGCCAAGGGATAAAGTATTAGAGGTATAAAGTATTCCAAAACCTCAAATGGCACACCTTTTTTTTGAATTTGGAAAAATGGGGTTAGCAAACAAATATATCGTTATTGAGAGGACTTGGCAAAGCGCGAATGTTTTGTTCTCATTCACTAGGCATTTGTTTTGGTGTGCCATGCAAACCAAGACCATTTAGTACATTATTCTCCAAATGGTGCTTTTTAGGGAACGTCGTATCTGGGTGCAGTCAAGAATGGTGGTTCCATCTGGGGTTTTATTTTTTTTAAAGCCTGTGCAGCATGCCACGTGTGCCCCACGGGAGACTGGACAACAGCTGGGCCTTTGCCTTCCCACCAAGAAGCTGTATTGTCACTATAAAGTAGAGTTTCACTGCCAATCTCGGCCTCTAAGCCCTTCAAATATACTGCCGCCAGCAGGGAGGGGGCATTAAATCTGCCTCCTCCTGGAGAGGGGGTTGTGTGTCTGTCAACTCTGTGTTCCCTTTCCCCCCCCAAAAAACCTGGGAGACCCAGGTATTCAGGCCCTCTCCCTTTTTTTTTACCCGTCCCCCATTAAAACTGGGGTTGGGGGGGAGGGGCGGTCTCTTTCCTTCAGTTTTGTAGGTCTGTTCAGTATTAATAATCCAGTGTGTTTGCAGTTCCAGAAAAAATGCCAGGGCTTATTTATTAGGGAGTGAAATAAAGACCGTGGATCGGAGTTTGCCATGTCCTCGTGTATGTCCTTTTGGGGAGGGATGTGTTTTTAAAAAATGTTTTGTCAAAATACGTCTGCCTTGCTTTTCCCTCCCACTGTGCGTACATTTCTCTCTCTATGGCTTGCAAGACCAATGTCAACCTTTTATAGAATAGAATAGAACAGAACAGAATAGAATTCTTTATTGGCCAAGTGTGATTGGACACACAAGGAATTTGTCTTTGGTGCATATGCTCTCAGTGTACATAAAAAGACAAGATACATTCGTGAAGAATCATAAGGTACAACACTTAATGATAGTCATAAGGTACAAATAAGCAATCAAATCATACTAGGAAACAATATAAATCATAATATTTATGTGGGCTGGCTTGATCCCACAGTTTTTGGTTAAATTTAATTGATTTTAATTGGGTTGTTTTAAATTGCGGCCAAAAATATTTAATTATTTTTAAACTGTTTTTAAATTTTGTATGTTCTGTTTTATTCTGGCTGTTCACCACCCTGAGTCCTGCTGGAGAAGGGCGGTATACAAATTAAAACAAATAAATAAATAAAATAAATAAATAAGGATACAAGCAACAAAGTTACAGTCATAAGTGGGAGGATATGGGTGATAGGAACGATGAGAAGATTAATAGTAGTAGTAATGCAGACTTAGTGAATAGTTTGACAGTGTGGAGGGAATTATTCATTTAGCAGAGTGATGGCATTCAGGAAAAAACTGTTCTTGTGTCTAGTTGTTCTGGTGTGCAGTGCTCTATAGCATCGTTTTGAGGGTAGGAGTTGAAACAGTTTATGTCCAGGATGCGAGGGGGCCAGTTTGGGAATCAGACACATCTAGCATTACTGGAATTTCACTTTATTGTTGCAGTGTGTGTTGTAACAGAATCTTGAAAACTCGTCTACCTTATACCGAAGAAAGTCAAGCTGGGTTTATCTTGAGTTTCTTTCTCATCCCCTCTTCTTTCCCAAAACTTAGCAGATGCTTTTTTAAACTGTTTTTGCATTCCATTTTGTCCGCGAGATGGACAAAAGCAGGATTGAAATGCATGCCCCACCCCTTTTGCACGTGTGCCCTGATGCCACAAGGACATACAAAAGGGGTGGAGCTCACAAGGGGTGTAAAAATAATCTTGGAAGACAGGTAGTCCAGATACTGGTTAGATAAGGGATGTCTGCTCACAGAAGGAATGGGAGTGAAGAAAGCATCTGAAAAGGGGACTGTCCCCAATTCTCTGGAAAGTAAAAAATAAGGGAGGGGAAAAGTGCTTTCAGACTTGCAAAGATTCTGTTATTAGAAACTGTTGGAAGAAATGTCCATCTGGGTTCAGTTCCAAGTGGGGAGAAAGACACTGGAAACATGGTGGCTGTTTGGAAAGATGGTTTTTAATGGACAGGGTGGACAGGACCACATGGTTTGAGGTCCTCAACAAAAAGGCACATGGAGTGGAGAGAGGGATATATTTATACACTCTCTTGGGCCCTGCCTTAGCGTTTCCTGTTCCTGTACAAGAAGTGTATCCCATTGACTGTCAGACTTCCGAGGGGCTGGGGTCTTAGCTAACTTTGTAGACTATCTGTGTCCCAGGCTTGGTTGAGCTTTGCTGGGTGATGTAATCTTCCCAGGTGCCATGTAGTGAGATGGGTAGAGGGCTAATCCTATCATGTCCTGAGGGCCATGTCTTAATCCCATCACCCTGGAGCTGAAGGGGGTGGGGGCAGGGAGCTTCAGGAAGCTGCTTTCTCTTTGAAAATATGTTTCTCCTTTTCTCAGCCAGGGAAATATAATATTCTGCCTCTTTAATATTTCCTAGAATATTTCATTCTTCTAGGAGAGGTGGGTGGGTGCCAACTTCCTACAAAACTTAACAATAAAGGTAGTGTTGGTTGCAGGATCCAACTAGATCCAGGATTTGTTAGAAGTTCCCAGAAAATGAGCTCCAGCACAAGTCAGAAAGCTCAAAAAATTAAACCTCTGGTCCCGGTGACCAACTCAGATTGGAAAACATTACCCGGGGACATGTACATTTGCCTTCGTTCATAGTGTTAGTATTCATCAGTGGTGAAATCTAAAATTTGTTACTACCAGTTCTGTGGGCATAGCTTGATGGGGGGGGGGGGGGGTTAATGTGACTGGGTGGGCATGGCCAATTTTTTTTTTTACTTTTAAAACCATTTTTTCTACAACCGCTTCAGCGAAGGAGTTGTAAAAAAAATGCTTTTAAAAGGCTCTGACGATCCCAGCTGAGTTGCCTGATCGGCAGAGACTTTTTTTCTTTTAAATGCCTCTGATGATCAGGCAATTCAGCTTGGATCGTCAGAGGCATTTAAAAGAATAAAAGGTTTTTTTTCTTTTAAAAGCCTTTGATGATCCCAGCTGAGCCCCGCGATCATCAGAGGCTTTTTTTTTTTTTACTTTTAAAAGCATTTTTTTGGCCGAAGAGGTTGTAGAAAAATGCTTTTAAAAGTAAAAAAAAAAAGCCTCTGATGATTGTGCGGCTCAGCTGGGCATGGGGGGGGAGTAGGGATTTTTGCTACCGGTTCTCTGAACCACCCGCCTCCATCGCTACCGGATCGAGTGATCCGGTCCGAACCGGGAGCATTTCACCCCTGGTATTCATGGTTTATGTTCCCTGTCTGCACTCCCTTAAAAGGCTGGTTACTTGATGATATGGCTTTTATCTTGATGAAGGCAGCAAGAAAATCAAATGCATTTATGTCTATCTGTCCTATTGGTCCTATAGAGGAGCTGATTGGAGCATGCAGTACAGGGAGTCCTTGACTTAACAACCACAATTGGTTGAGAAATTTGTTAAGTGACTTTTGCCCCATTTTATTCTTGCCGCATTTGTTAAAGTAAATCACTGCAGTTGTTGAGTTAATAGCACGGTTGTTAAGTGAATCTGGTTTCCCCACTGACTTTGCTTGTCAGAAGGTCACAAAAGGGGATAGAATAGGATAGAATAAGAGAGTTGGAAGGGAACTTTTTTAAAAAAAAATTTGATTTATATGCCGCCCTTCTCTGGAGACTCAGGGCGGCTTACAATGCATTAAGCAATAGCCTTCATACTTTTGTATATTTATACAAAGTCAGCTTATTGCCCCCACAAACTGGGTCCTCATTTCACCTACCTTAGAAAGGATGGAAGGCTGAGTCAACCTTGAGCCTGGGGAGATTCGAACCTGCAGTAATTGCAGACAGCTGGTGTTAATAACAGGGTGCTTTAGACCACTGTATTACCAAGGCTCAATAGAACTAGAACTTGGAGGTGTTCTAGTCCAATCCCCTGCTCAGGCAGGAAACTCTTATACCTTTTCAGACAAATGGCTGTCCAATGTCTTTTTTAAACCCTGCAGTGTTTTAAATTCACATTCACAACTTCTGGAGGCAAGCTGTTCCACTGATTAATTGTTCTAACGGTCACATGGACCACATGACCTCAACCATCACAAATATGAATCAGTTGCCAAGCCTCTGAATTTTGGTCACGTGACCATGGGGATGCTGCAATGGTCATAAGTGTGAAAAACGGTCATAAATCTTTTTTCCCCCCCAGTGCTGTTGAACTTTGAATGATCTCTGTTGTAAGTCGAGGACTGTATTTCTGCTGTCCCTATCCACTTTTCCTTCTTGCAACAATCTGATGAGTAGGCCAGGATGAAAGACAACTGCCCAAATTCTTGTTTTTAAGCTCTGCCCTTGTACTTTAATGAAAGAAACATATTTCTTTTCAGTGTATCCTATGCAAATCAAAGATACAGTGTATCTTTTTCAGTGTATCCTATGCAAATCAAAGATACACATCTTTGTGTATCCTATGTGTAACAAGGATACACATAGGATCAAAGATTTGCATAGCATGTGAAGAAACTAATCCAGATTAAAAGTAACCCAGCTTGGAAAATGTGTGAATGCAACCCTTAAATTTATAAGCCCTCTGGTTATGTATAAACAAGGAAGAGATCAAGGAATGCAACGTGAAGTTACTGGAATTCATTCCAGCCTCCTGGACCACCGCAATAACCAGGGGAGCCTCTCTGAGGGCGTGCAAAGTCCCCAGCCACGGGCCTGGTGGCTCAGCAGATTAATAGCATTGTGATTAACATCAGCTGTCTGCAATTACTGTAGGTTCCAATCTCACCAGGCTCAAGGTTGACTCAGCCTTCCATCCTTTCTAAGGTAGGTAAATTGAGGACCCAGTTTGTGGGGGCAATAAGCTGACTTTGTATAAATATACAAAAGGATGAAGGCTATTGCTTAACGCACTGTAAGCCACCCTGAGTCTCTGGAGAAGGGCGGCATATAAATCAAATTAAAAAAAATAATAAAATTTTTAAAAAAACTTTGCAGTTCAACAAAGAAAAGGTAGCAAACCAACCAACCAACCCCAAAAGCACAATATTGGGCTGGAGACGGTATAAACAAGGAAGAGATCAAGGAATGCAACGTGAAGTTACCGGAATTCATTCCAGCCTCCTGAACCACCACAATAACCAGGGGAGCCTCTCTGGGGGCGTGCAAAAGTCCCCAGCCACGGCCCTGGTGGCTCAGCAGACTAATAGCATTGTGATTAACATCAGCTGTCTGCAATTACTGTAGGTTCCAATTCCCCCCAGGCTCAAGGTTGACTCAGCCTTCCATCCTTTCTAAGGTAGGTAAATTGAGGACCCAGTTTGTGGGGGCAATAAGCTGACTTTGTATATAAACAACAGTATGAAGGCTATTGCTTAATGCATTGTAAGCCACCCTGAGTCTCCAGAGAAGGGCGGCATATAAATCAAATTTTAAAAAAAAATGATTTATTTTTTCATACTCATCACAACCAGCAGTTTGGGGGGGGGGAAACTTTCCTTCGGGTCAACTGGACCTCCACCCTGGTATTTTTACCAGGGGGGGGGAAACAAAACTTCTCTGGGCCAATCAGTGGTTCCGCCGCCAACCGAGGATGGAGAACAGGACCAGATGCTGGGATTCATTCAACGTTGGGGGAGGATGGGGATGGGGGGGGTGCCTCGGGACGGGCTCCGCAGCCACTGCAGAGAGTGACGCATCCCTCCTCCGCCTATGGTCGTGTTTCCATACCCCCCCTCCGCCTTTTTCCCCCCCTCCCCCCGCGCCCCGGGCTTGCTTTCTTCCCCTTCTCACGTTCCGATCGCCCCATTCCCGAGGCAGGCGGGCGGGCGGGGGAAGCCACTGCGGGCCCCAGCCAGCCCGGCTCGCCCGGCTTCACCTACCGGTACCTTTAAAAAAAAATATTATTATTATTATTATTCCCTTTTCCACCCATTCGATCTTTAGGCCCGCGTGGCTTTTTTTTCTTCCCCCCCCTTCTTCTTCTTCTTCTCTCCCCCCCCCCGGTTAAGCCGCCGCCTCCGCCGCCGCTGCTGCAATGCATCAAGTTTGGCGGCGCCCGCCTCCTCCGCCTGGCGCACGCTTTGATTCATCCCTCCTCGCCCTGTCCAGCAGCGAGCCAGAGCAGTTCCCGGGCGGCTCAGCCTCTGCCGCAGCGGTGCGCGCCGCCGGGGAAGGCTAAGGCTAAGGCCAGGGGGGTAAAGGGGGCGAAGGTGGGGTGGGGCGGCGGTGGGGAGAAGCGAGTCATCCCCGGCTTCTCGCTCCCGGGCGGGCCCGATCCCTCCCTCCCTCCTCCTCCTCCTCCTCCTCCTCCTCCCGCATCCTCCAGCGCCAGGAGCTCCAAGCGAGCCTTCCTTCTTCTTCTTCTTCTTCTTCTTCTTTTAGCGGAGCCCAAGGCTTCTTTTTTAGCCAGCATATCGGAAGGCGGGGACCGGACTTCCCGTGCAGCCCGCCAAGCTTTCAGCCAGCCAGCCAGCCAGCCGGCGAAGAGGCTTCCTATGGATCCGGCCCTCTCGAGTCCAGCGGAGGCACCTGCCCGAGGGAGCGGCTGATCTCGGGCTCCTCCTGGGCGCCAGCGGAGAAAGCTGCCCCCCCTTTTTTGTTTTTGCAAAGGGTTTGCTTGCAGAAGCGATCCTTTTATTTTATTTTATTTTATTTTATTTTATTTTATTTTATTTTATTATTTTATTTTGTTTGAAAGAGGGGGGATCTAATTTGGAGAGGAGCGACCCCTCCAGCCCCTCACCCCCCCCCATTGAGAAAAGGAGACTCCGGGAAGACCAAGCGGGGCTGGGCTCCATCCTTTCGGCCCGAGCAGAGAGGGCCGCAAGGCGCCAACCTTGAAGCCGAAAGGACGCGGGGGAGCGCAGGTGGCAGAGCCCGGGCCGGCGCCACCGGGAGGAGCCGCCGCCTCCGCCGCCACCGCTTTGCCCATGGCCGGCTGAAGAAGAAGAAGAAGAAGGGGACCCGCTTCCCAGCGCTGCCTCCGCTCGCCTTTCCTCGGGGCCCATCCCAACTTTTATGGCTCCCCCAGCAGCCGGACGCCTCCTCTGCATCTTCGTGCCGTCTCGCTCCCCGGCTTGGGTCCCTCGCAGACCCGGGGCGACGAGGGCAGTCATAACAGCAGCAGCAGCCGCCGCCGCCGCCGTCGTCGGGGCAAGGAGCGGCGGAGCGCCTCGTGCGGCCGATCCCGGGCAGGATCGGGTATCCGAAGCCAAAGCAGGTGGATCCGGCCGGGACATTCCGAGCCGCCCGGCGGCGGGAGGGGTTTCCTTGAGCGAGCTATAAATAAGAATACCCTCCGCGGGGGGAAAAAAATTCTTGACCGGGATCGTCTGACTGTTGACCGCCAAGAGGGTCGCTTGGAGGGAAAGGGCGGGACGAGCCCACCACCCCGGCCGACAACGGGAGCGCACCCTGGAACCGATCCCTCAGCATGGCCGCCCCCCGACCCGTCTCGCTGCTGCTCTTCGGCCTGGCCTTGGGTGAGTTGGACAGACCGGGAGGGGAGAGTGAGTGGGTGAGTGGGTGGTTGGGTGGGAGAGAAGGACACGCGTGGAGTGGGGAGGGGATAGGCGGCTGGAGAAGGTCCGAAGAGGCGGCGTGGAACCCCCCCCACCCGAGAGCCCCGGCCTAAGGGCGAGTCTTCTTTCCCCCTTGGGAGTCTCGGGCTGTGCGTGGACGCTGGGGCGGTCTCGGGCCCCGTGGGATAGGAGGAAGGCTTTGCTGCCCCCCCACCCCAGCCTCGACCCAGGCCGCCTTTTCTCCTCCAAAGGCCTCCCGCCACCTAATTTGGAGGCTTTCTGAAAGCGGGAAGCAGGTAAAAGTCCTCTCTGGGCTCTTTTTTTTTTGGGGGGGTGCCAAGCGAAAGGAAGAATTCAATCCGGGATGCCCTCCGTATTCTGCTGGTTTTCTCTTTTAACAGTAACAAGAGTTGGAAGGGACTTTGGAGGTCATCTAGTCCAACCCTGTAACTCTGTAAGGGACGTGCCTAAGAATACCAGCGTGCCTACCTACCATCCCTGTCCTAATGGTCCCTTTATTTGTATTCGTTTTATGTATTCAATTCATGCTTATTCTTATAGATATTATCTAATATGTACTTGACAAAATAAATAAAAGAAAAGAAAAATAAAACCCCCCTGCTCACCTAGGAGACTTGTACTAGGGCAGTGGTTCTCAACCTGTGGGTCGGGACTCCTTTGGGGGGTCAAACAACCCTTTCACAGGGGTTGCCTAAGACCATCGGAAAACACATATTTTCAATGGTTTTAGGAATAATTTTATGGTTGGGGGGTCACCACAACATGAGGAACTCTATTAAAAGGTCGCAGCATTAGGAAGGTTGAGACCCACTGTACTAGGGGATTCGAACTGCCGACCTTTCTGATTGACAAGGTTGGGCCTGGACTTCTAGATCTGTGTGGTGTGTGTGGGCTTGGATGGAGCTCTTGCAATTGTTTCCCCCCCCCAAAAAAACAACTTTTGCATCTTTTTTTGGATGAGGGGGTTTGTCCCCTAAAAGTCCTGATGCCTTAAATCTCTTCTTTGCTGGAAACAACCTGGAATTTCTTGCCAAGGAATGAAATCGAAGTGAGTGGGTGGGTGGGTGGAGGAAGAAAACAGAAAGTTAAAAGATGCCTGAGATTTGAAGGGGGCTTCAAGGAGGTCCTGAGGAGCCGTACTGGGGACAGGGGGGCTTCGGCCATATAGGGAGGATCAAGGATCAAGTTCAGAGCAAGGACCACCAAACACAGATTTCCTTCTGACTCAAGAGAGGGGAAATTGTCTTTTGAAACCTGGGATTTCCAGACATGGTGGATGTCCCTAAGAAATGCAGGGACAGAGATGTGCGAGGATGGCAACCATGCTGCAGTCAGATTGGCAAAGCAATAGAAGAATTAAAAAAACAACAACTCTAGAGGCAAAATAGAAAAGAGCCTTGGTAGTACAGTGGTCTAAGGCACCCTGTTATTAAGCTGGTTATTAAGACCAGCTGCCTGCAATTACTGCAGGTTCGAATCTCGCCAAGGCTCAAGGTTGACTCAGCCTTCCATCCTTTCTAAGGTAGGTAAATTGAGGACCCAGTTTGTGGGGGCAATAAGCCGACTTTGTATAAATATACAAAAGGACGAAGGCTATTGCTTAGCGCATTGTAAGCCACCCTGAGTCTCCGGAGAAGGGCGGCATATAAATCATATATATATAATATATATATATATATAATTGGAATATATAATTGGAAAATATAATTTTCCCTAACTCGTACCTAAGTTTTTTTTAACTGTTTAAAGAAAATGATAAACAATCTGCATCATTCCTGTTGCCTTGGCCTTGCAATGTCAGTTCTTCCCCATCCCCCACCTCACTCAAATAATGCACACTAAGGTCATCTCTTACATCAGTTGAAGCTGCTTTGCTAGCAAACTCTTAATGCATTTAAAGGTAGCCTTTCTTTCCTTGCTTTTTTTTTTTTATGGAGCGTGTACGGTGAGACAGGAGGGCATACTTCCTATTTCTTTCCTCATTTTCTGCAGTTCCCAATCCTGGATATCCTTACCGATTTCAAAGGCTGCATGGAACCTTCTCTTCATCAGCCCCTGCCCTGAAGAGATAAAAGTTATTTTCTGGTCCAGAGAAACATACTTTCATTCAATACCCTACAGTGAAATTTGGGCCTTCAGATGCCCAAGACCTGCAGCCCACAATCACAGGAGATTTGAGGCATTCTGTAGAAGGCTGTGAGACTTTCCTTCATCTGGGAGGGGAAAAAAGTATGGTTTTCCAACTAACAATTTTTATTAAAAGGCATACATTCCATGACCTAAAGCTCCCTTCATCAGATGCACCTGACCCTACCAGATCTGATCAGATGCTACTAAATTCTAGATTTTCTTTTGTCACCATAGATAAACACAGCTGTCCTCCTACAATGTCATCATCCTGCAAGAGCTGAAAAATAAACACTTGAACAACATAACATCCTCTTTCTCTCATCCAAGAATAGAATGGAAAATGTGTATAGTACCGTCAATTCCCAACCTGCTAGGCAGAAACAATTTTGAGCATCAATTTTTATTTATTTCCAATTCTTCCTATTTTTTTTTTTACAACCTACAAGGTAAACCCATTGTAGACAAAGCTGATGGTGGTGGTAACATTTTTAAAACCATCAAAAGAAACCAAAGGAGGCTATTACAATTGTAGAGTATGAAATGAATAAATAGATAAATGATAGACAGACAGACAGATGGTATAACATAGCCTGGGACTTTAAAAACAAATACTCTTCAGTTTAAGTCAAAAAACAAGACCAACACCTAGTAAAGAAGTGAATTAAAATAAAATAAAGCATGTCATGATCAGAAGGTATGAAAGTAATTTGGCTGAAAGTCTTTATATAACTATTTTTCAAACTTGGCAACTTTCAAAATGTGTGGACTTCTACTCCCAGAATTCCATGCTGGTTGCAGAATTCTGGGAGCGGAAGTCCACACATTTTAAAGTTGCTAAGTTTGAAAAACTGTTTTAAAAGGCCTTTGAAAAGTCTGGTTACTAAGTTGCTAAGTTTGAAAAACTGTTTTAAAAGGCCTTTGAAAAGTCTGGTTACAGTGAGGGCTATATATTTTGTTTTATGATGCCCTTTTCTGAGAAGTTTAACTGTCTGTTTCTTAATGCATAACAACTCCTGAAAAGTAGGTTTATGACTGATCATTTCCTTTGCTTCTATTTTATCATGGCTAAATATGAATTTGACACACTGCTTTTTTCAGTCCTAGTCCATACCAGGATCCTCTTTGCCTCCCAGATGTTCTTAATCAGTATATATATTTTGGCAATCATTTTTCCAATTTCAAACTTCCCTACCTGGTCATCTGCAACTGGTTTTTTTTCCTTTTAGATGAGTCATCATAAAAGAAACAGCTTCAGCTGAAGGATCTGGGTGCTTGGTGGAAGGAAAATTATATTGAACTCTTTTCTGGAAAGTTCTTGAGTAATCTGGTTTTCTTTGTCTGCAAGTGGGTTTAACCAATGAATAAATCAGTGTTGGCATATTCTGTCAGACCACCAGGATCTCCAAAGTGGATTGAATGGCTGCTGTAAGACTTCTCTAAGCGTGGTTGAGCTTTTTGTCAGAAATTCAGAATGCGTTTCATTAAAAGTGAGATTCCTTACACTTGGTTGTTCAAAACTTGGGCCGCGAAACTTGGCAGCAAGGAAGGTGGACAAGTTCACATTAATTAAGCTTTCAGAATTATACCACATCATTAAGCTAATTCATAACAAGTGTCTACTTGTCTATCCTTTATCCTCTATCGTCTATGATCCATCTTCTACTATCTTCCATCTATCCTCCATTATCTATCCTTCTATCATCCATCACCTATCACCCATCTATCATATTTTTATAGCTGCCCAACTCACAGTTGTGATTCTAGCCTTTGTACAATAAAACGACCAGCTAAAACAAACAAACTGCAATAATTAAAAACTATTTACACACAAATATAAATAAGACAGTAAGAATGAACCAGCATCTTGCACACACACTGTAACCATCTTGCAGGCTCCCTGTTTTTTGTTTTTTTGTTTTTTGTTTTTTTTTTAAAATTTGATTTATATGCCGCCCTTCTCCGGAGACTCAGGGCGGCTTACAGTGCTTTAAGCAATAGCCTTCATACTTTTGTATATTTATACAAAGTCAGTTTATTGCCCCCACAAACTGGGTCCTCAATTTACCTACCTTAGAAAGGATGGAAGGCTGAGTCAACCTTGAGCCTGGCGAGATTCTGTGGGATCCCCAAACCCAGTGGTGAAATCCAATTTTTTTTTACTACCGGTTCTGTGGGCATGGCTTGGTGGGTGTGGTGTGGCTTGGTGGGCGTGGCAGGAGAAGGATACTGCAAAATATCCATTCCCATCCCACTCCAGGGGAAGGATACCGCAAAATCCCCATTCTCTCCCCACTCCTGGGGGAAGGATATTGCAAAATTTCCATTCCCACCCCACTCTGGGGCCAGCCAGAGGTGGCATTTTCCGGTTCTCCAAACTATTCAAAATTTCTGCTACCAGTTCTCCAGAACCTGTTAAAACCTGCTGGATTTCACCCCTGCCCAAACCTCTTAGAAGAAACAGGGTTTCAGGGATTTCCTAAACGGCAATAGGATGAGGACTAATCTCACTGGGGAGGTGGGGGGATGATAATGTTCCAAAGGATGGGGGCCACAGTAGAAAAGATTGTGCTCTTGAATCCCATCCAGTAGAACTCCTTAGCACAGGGGTCTCCAACCTTGGCAACTTTAGGACTTGTGGACTTCAACTCTCAGAATTCGCATGCGCATGCTGGCTGAGGAATTCTGGGAGTTGAAGTCCACAAGTCATAAAGTTGCCAAGGTTGGAGACCCCTGCCTTAGCAAACGGGACCCATAACATGCCATTCCTGCTGGACCCCGATGGGATGGGTAGATGTAACCGGGGAGACGCT